CGGCATGTAAGCTCCACCGTGAACACTGCAATTTTTGTCTTAACATTTCATTCTGCGACTTAACTGGGTTTTCGTCTCAAGTTTCACTGTTACGAACATCATCGAACATTTACTGGAGAAATTTCCCGGCGAATGCCGCGAATTATTTACTTGGACTGCATTGTTGGAATATTGCAGTGGAAATTTTATGGGGAGACGGGTGACATTTTTAGTGGGGCATAAACTTACGTCAGATTTATCTGCGCGAAAGAAAATTTACCATCAACAGTTGCTTTTTTCTCTTCCAGGGCAGCTGCTTGTTATTTATTTATTTTTTTTTTATGGAAAAGAGGGAGTTGTGGATGACGAAATATTTTGGAATATTTTGGAATATTTTGGAATATTTTGGAATATTTTGGAATATGAAAATTTGAGGGTTTTAATTGATCTGACAGATGAATGGATCTGTGACAGGATACGATGAAGGAATCAAGACATTGTCGTATGGATTCCATGGCGTATTGGATTATTCACTCCGAGTAATATCAGGATGGAGTGTTTGGGAGATAAGACGGGCATTGTGTTGTCATGTATTGTGTGAGAGAAATGTGGCTGCTCTGGGTCTAATATTGAAGGACATCTCATTAAAGATTCTTTCGTTCATCTTCCTTTTATCGTTGAATAAAGTCGAGACGAGGTGAATAACCGACTCATCAAATCGCAGTTCAGATGATATTATACTGTCGAAAGTTTCTGGATAAAATTTCCGGTAAATGTCTTCCAACGGTACCATCCAAGTTTCGAGAAGTTGAGGCAAAAAATCGGGAGAACTGAGAGTTCATCATGGAGACGAATTCTTCCTCCAGTTCTTCCTCAAGTTCCAGTCACTGAAAAATTTAATTTACTTTCAATTTTTTTCTGAAAATCCTGGCATCAGGTGCATATTTTACAAAAAAAAATGGTAATTTTCAATTAATCGTGATATCTCGTGGTCACGTAGTAATAAACCACATGTTTTTTTAGATGAACAATGGGTGGAGAACGTGAGGGCAGGATTTAGCAATATTCCGTAATATTCGAGTGCACGTAGCTACCACGTGGTGTAGTGTTACGGTTTAGGTGTTCGTAGGATTTGGATCCCCCACGAACTCACAATATCTCACAATAACGGATATAACCTGGAAACTAGGTTCTCGGATGAGGGAAATTTTTGTGCTGAATATTTCGGAGAAATGGTTTAATCCACCACTGGCTGTCACATATACCGTGCACCACCACTACAAACAAAAACAATATCCACACAACTTGTGTTGGCACATGGTGTTTGAGGGGAATTTCAAATAGCCTATTTTCCACAAATATTTTCAGTGTCTTGTCTACAATTACTTCAAGGAATTCAATGCCACCACTATCTACTAGCAGAAGTAATGAATTCTATAATAAAATCGAGAACAAGTTATCTCAGTAATATATAATCATTTTTTTTTTAATTGAAATTTGAAATTTTTTAGTTTAATTCAAATCAGTCGTTTTTATGGACCTGCGTAGTACAATAAACGCAGAGGAAGATGATCATTTAATTTGCATCATGGACGCAGCATCCGTCGAGATTTGATGATTCTATTCATCAGTGATTCACATGAAGCTAACAATACTCGAACTGCAGAAAATGAATTCTATTAACTTCCTGAAAATAATGAAGACCCTTTCTAAAAATACGGGAAAATGAGTTTGTCATTTCGTTCGATTTTTGATTTCATCATAATTCCGTGATTTTCCGAAAAGCAATGAGTCAAATTTGAGCACTGAAATTCTGAGAAATTGCATGTTACTCTGATTCGATCTGGATTGCAGTAACCGATGGCAATTCCTCAGGATTCTTTTTTTAGTTCCAATAGTTGTGAACACTCTTCATCGCCGTGCTTGCACGTTGGTTATACAACGATACTCGCGGAGAAATCAAATTGACAGTTTGAAACATCACCAGTGGAGTAGGATACAATGGCCAACCACTAAAGCGAGAATTAAATTAACGATTTCCGTTGGCTCTACTATTCGTTTTCGCCAACAGGTTTGCTCTCCATAGGTTTGAAAAAAAAAAACGATTAATTTGACCTTTCAACATGCCGCCTGTTTCTCATCGCATGGAGAGATCGATCCGCCAAGAATAAAATGATACAATATTCCTACCAAAGTCGCGTCTAAAATACTTGTCATTTAATGCAATCGAACTTGTTTATTTCGATGTACCATTGACTGGCATTAATTCGGCGATGAAACAGAAATGATTCATCTTCCCGGGAAAAAAAAATTTTAATCGGAACAGCTTTCCCAAATTTTTAAAAAATTTCTGGAAAACTTTTCAGAATTTTTTTTTATGAAACAAAAAAAAATCGGAACACTGAAGAATTTTTTTTTTATTTCGGAAAGCTTCTGAAAAATTTTTCAAAAATTTGAATAGGAATTTTTTTTTTATTATTTAGATGGCGTTTTTTTTTGAGAATATTGAAAAATTAAAAAAGGAAGAAAACAACAGTATAATTGAAAAAAAAAAATTATATTCGCAAGAATTTCTAGACAATCATTTTTCTAGAAATTATTCGAAACAAATTTTGGAAAAATTTTTCAAAACATTTCCCAAAAATTTAATTGCTTTGTTCCTCAATTTATTTTTTGTATCAAAAGAAAATTTTTCTGAAAAGTTTTCCCGAAATTTTGTGAAAATGTGGAAAAAATATTCCGATTAGAATTTTTTTTTCCCAGGTTGATTTGCCCCGAAAAGAAGCCCTGTAAGCAGAGGGTATTTACATTATTAAAGATGAAAAATGTTAGGCCATTTGGTGTCCCCGGAGTATGTCATACGGTTGTACCCTGTCGCCTGTTGCCGTAAAGCCGGAATACAGTTGTAGTATGAGGTTGAAATGGCGAAGGGACAGCTGTTGCTTGGCAGGTAGTTCAAGTTAGCGAAAAAGAATTCCCCCCTCGCCGACCTCATCCACCAACCCCAAAACGACAATAGGTGCACAATAGATACCCCTAAAAAAACCTTTAGGCGCTTGTACTACAGTACTATGCAAGTCGGATAATTCTGGTGAATGGAGGGACTCGTGAAAAAACAAACACCCTCTTTGTAGATAAAAAAATTTCCATAAACTGGCTGATGGATGGCTGTTCAATAGAGGGTACTCGTGGCCGGAACAATGGCCGGGGAATCATTGGTTATCGCGTTTGAGAACACGAGCGGACCATTACCCCAGCTCTGATAGCATCGATCCTTCAAAAACCCCCAGCTTCTGTTATCAACTCTCAGAGGCTGTCTCATGCATTCACTGCACCCGTTAATCTCATCTGTTGCGGGATATTCAAGGATATTCGGGAATCACCAAGATAAAATCCATTTACTACCATCCAAATTACAAAGCACGTGATTTACTCATAACATATCGAGAAATTTCCATTTTATGATAAAAATTGAAGGTGACTCGAATTTTTTCACCAGCAAGGAGCAAACAATTTCGCAACCCACTTTAATTCCGTATTGAATCATGAATATTCACTACCAAATTATGCTGAATCTTAAATTAATTAGAAATTCAGGAATACATTTCCACGGATTTTCCTCATTTCATTAACTTTCATGGAATATTCTGGCTGAAATTTACAGCTCCCAGTGATATCCCCATGGGATTCCGAATTTTTTTTTTTTAATCTCCAGCGGAATTGGAAGTCGTTGAAGATTCAGCGAGAAAAAATTTTGAGAAAAACGAGTCTCAAATTCAAACACCGAATTTAAGAAACTCTTCCAAAATCGATACCTTCGATTTGAGTCTGAAATTTATTTTCTAATATCAACTAACTCCACCCAGTGTTATAATCCACAAATTAATTTCCAATAATCAATAAAGCGAAAGCTCTGAACAAACACCTGTATTTTCCCTTGAAAAATCAAGGAAAAGTCCTGCATAAAGCCAAATATCCCAAACAATCCAGGGAAATACCCGGGAAATTCCAGTTTGTTCCTGGATAAAATGAGGAATCTTGGGAAATTGGGTCATTTTGATTCACCATAATAGAGTGCAGCCTCCCACGTCGCCAAATCGCCGATATGTACAGCGACATGCGCGCGCAATCGATACATCGATGACTTATTCAGGGAACGAGCTAAAACCCTGATTGTAAGCACCCACCGATTTCGCTTTCACAGCCCTTCAGCAAATTCCCCATTTCACGACTTGGATCGTTCAATTTTCCCCATCGATTAGCTCTCCCAATTTCTATCTATCCCTATCAGCAATTATTGGATTATCTCAATAAAATAAAGAATATTATTCGAAACCTCTTTGACAATTTGATATTTTGATGTATATCTTCCAAGTCTTCAGCAGAAATCCTATTGACATGTGATTTTCGTATTCTTATGAATTCCTCGGGCTTCCTCGGGCTTTTTTATTCCGCGAATCGGATGCCAGAGTCGTCCGATTCTCGCCAACTCCCCTATAACCGAGCTTTGACCCAATTCCGGGGTGAAATATAAAGTAGGGTAAAGTATTGATATTGTTTTCAAGCCACAAACATCAGAATATGTGTTATTTGCCTCTTTTCTCTGGCTTTTATTTGGTTTTTTTATTTTCGTTACTCTCCAACGTAGTGCATCTCTCGTGGAACCCTACTAATCACATGAACAAGCCCTTGGCATCGTAATATATTGCGGAAAGAGTTGGGGGAGGCAGAAAATAAAAAGACAGATACACTTGCTTTGTGTACCTATGTGCACCCCAACGAGATATGTTGCGCTTCAACGCCTGGACGATACGTTGTATAAAGTTTTTGCAGTACCATCGACCTAAAAAACAAAGTTTTATGTATTGTCGGGAATGAGGAGCTTCAGCCAAATGCAGAGCCTCCCTGTCCTACCTGTATCTCATAGATTCCTTTCCATATCTCCTTTTTTTCATTCCTTCCATTTTCTCTCATTTTCATTTCTCAATATTTAATACATTATTTTCATTTTCTGCTTGCAGGACGAGAAGAATCAACTGTTGATTACGAACTTGTGGTTGAAACTGGTGAGTACTCGAATGACTATTTGTAATAATTTTCTAATATTTTTATTTATAAAAATGTTCGTCAAAATGAGAAAGAAATCATCAGTTCATTTCACCTGAAATTAAAACATGAATTTTCTACTGGTGAAAACTCAAGTTTTTTTTTTCCGAAAATAAAATAATGGAGTAATTGATGATATAATTAATCTCAAAGGGAGAATGAAAACTCGAGTGACATTGCCGTATGAAAATAGTAATGTTTATATTTGCATTGGTATAGCAGGAGGGAGTGGGTGGACAAGTGGTTAGAAAGAAGAATAAAGAGTAGTTAGAATGGAGTGAGATGGAGGATACGTATGCATAGAGGTACTAATATTCCGAGGCTTAAGTACTCATTGAGTTGAGAGTTGTGCAGAGACAGCCATGGAATGACCCAAATTCGATGTTAACGATTGTGCCAGGGGGTGGGTGGGAGATCGAGGGGGTGGAAAGGGAGGAGGAAAAAGGGAAGATGAGCGGAGGCAGAACATTCCACTCGTTCTATTTATCTCGCTCGGTTGCCAGACCAATGTTCAATCGATTTTTTTAAACCCCTTCCATCCCAACCCCTGAAATATTTTCATTTTTCGTTTCAATTTCGTTTTTATTCGTTCGGCAATTTTTAGACAATTTTTAGACAAACGACCAACTACTAATTCCTCTCCCAGTATTGCCAATCTGTCGGCAGATGTGTCGGGCCAGATTTAATCCCACCACTTGTTCGTTATCGTTTTCGTGAGATTTTCAATTATATCACCGGCATCGTATATCTCCATCTCACTTCACTCGAGGGGTTTATCTATACATATACGAGGCATGTGGGTATACCTCGTTAGTCACCATCGTGGGACCTCTTCGATTTGCATTTGTGAGTGGCCTCTCCTCTCCCGTTACTCTGCATCACCATGTACTATCTATATATTTCTTTTTGATGCTCATAATTGAGTAAACGGAGAAATAATTAGTTATGGGGCAATTGAGCACGGAAATTTGCCTCGCGGGTATTTTTATTTCTTGAAAAATTCGGAGATTCAGTGGATCGGTTCTATTAATTCCATGTATTCAAGCAGACTGGGAAATTTCATGATTTTCTTTTAAAAACATTCATGGAAAAGAAGTTTTAATTTGAGATACCTCATCAGAGCTGAACGCTTTATTTAGGGGAACATACAGAGTTGAGAGAAGTGTCTTGACCCCTGGACTCTTCTCCGATTTATTTTTCGCCTTACGATCTCTTACGACCGAAGACCCTCCCAAACCTCTTGCTCATAAAGAAAAAGCATTAACAACTTTACTTTCAATTTAATTAACAACTCCGAGTTGCGGCCGTTGAGCCCAAAGTAACGAAAGCAATCGCTGAATTCAGTATCACGAGAATGACCCCAAAACTTCTCCGAATCGACGAATAAAAATATAAAAACTCCGAAGCTGTTACATTATATGTAAAATATCTTGACTCCAGAACTTTCCGACTCTTCAAAGACATGTATCTGAGTTTCATTGAGCATGAAACAATGTTTCCTACCGTGTACGTGAAGTAGCACGAAAAATTCTATAAAAAGAAATTTAAAAATATGCACTTGGTATTTTCCTGATTCGCGATAAGTTGAAGTGATACAAAGTACTATAAAGTACTATAAAGTACTATCTGAGGGTCACGTCGTCCCCTGACTTCGCATTCTGAATGATATTCCCTGGATTGAACTTTACCCTCAGTTACGTGCCTCCATCTCCGTGGTTAAAAAAATGACAATAAATAAAAATAAAAATACAACAAAAGGGAAGAAATGAAGAGTCATAAAAATGCTAAGTTCTGGATGTAACACGCTTGTTAGAAAACTTTTGGAATAGCATGGCGTGGTGTATGTGCCCCGCTGATCCGTGAATTCTCATTCAGATTTCATGCGCCTTTAGCTGTATACACTGCATATCTTTCTTCGGTATTGGCTTGAAAACAGATTTATGGTACCTGTAGGAAAAAACATGGGAGATATGTGTTTGAGCCGCGTAATGCACGAGGGGGAATAGTATGAAACTTTACGATAAGTCATTCGGCAATATTTCATGCGTCATTCATGTTTGTGGAGAGAAGATAGACTGGCTATTCCCCAAGTTTTATTTCAGTCAATAACTTCTTCAGACTTTACACATATTTACTTGCAGACTGATTAACAATATAATTGACATCTGAGATTTATATTGGGTTGGGGAGAGATCCCGATGGGATTACATTTTCCATCTGTTCGAACTAATGAAATAATATTTCTTGGAGCTGAAGGCTGGAATGAACGCTGGAACGTCAAAAGATCAAATGAAGAGGGAATGCTCTTATTTTTATAGGGAGAAAATATTTACTAGCCCGGTATAGCCTTTTTATATTTTCCATCAATCTCAATAGGTGATCGTAAGGTATATTTTTTCATGGAAAAGTACATCGATATTTTACTGATGCTTTTTATAAATTTATGATTACATCTCGCATTTGCAGTTCTGGAATCACTGAGGTTTTCCCTCTTTTGTAGAATTTCATTTTGTTGATTTAATGTCCTGAATGTTTATTTAAAAAAAACGTTGAAATTAATAATTATTGTCAATTTCAACAGCAATTTCTGTTATTGGGGAGAAATTCATCCAGATAAAAAAGTCAACTGAATTTTCGAATGATTAACGATAGGAAAGGCAATAAAATTCCGTGGAATTCTGTTTTTCAATATCCATCAATCTCCGAAAACCATAAATTTCGATTGACGACTGCGCAGGTTGTGATGTGAATTTTTTTCTTTTTCCTCATGGGGGAATAGAAGTTATTTTTATTATTTCATTCGCGCTCAAGATATCGGCCGGTTGATGAAATTTACATCTTTGGATTGTGAATTTTTCACAATCGATGAGGAGACCATAAATGTTGGCGATGATGTGAGTGTATCGTGAAAGCCCGACGATGAGCCAACGTTTTTGTCAGTTCTGTATTACATCAGAGTGTTTGAAGGTGACTGCAACTATTTCCTCATCCCCAACAGCTGCGTCTCAGCCCATTCTCCTGATGAGATACAAAATCCCAACGTTATCCCAACGGGATAAAGATCATTAATTGAAAAAAATCTAGAGCCAATCATCCTCGGTAAATTGATATTGAAATTTTCCATGAAAATTTCAAAATTTAGGAGTTGCTCCAAGTGTGAAAAATAATAGATGTCAAGAATCCCCTCGATCCACTCGTTCCACCACTAAGATAAACTTAATTTACTTTTCCACATCCGATAAAACGTCCAAACTCATTCCACCGGAGTTGGAGAGAAAAAAAAATAAAGAAGGCGAATGTCGAAATCATGAAAAAAGAATGGAGTTGAGATGGAGCTGAAAGAGTGGTGTGTCATTGTGGTCTGTGGCTCTCACTCTTGGCATTTCCTCTCAAAGAAAGTTTTCCGGAAACAATTAAAGTGAAAACCTTCCTAATCTCCTGGCGTAAACTCGTCCCTCGTGAAATTGGCCCGGCATTCTCGAAAAGCTTCATTCCTCCACTCGCTCCTACTCGTTTAATCTCGATTTCATTAATCCAATGCCAAGTTAGTCGGTGGTATAGTCAATCGTCGAGACCTGCCATCTATATCGACTCAAAAATCCATTAACGATGGGGATTTCATCTCGAATGAACTTCCAATTATGATTTCGGGGATGAAAAGTTGAGGTGTTCCGTTTATTACGATAAGTGGCATTTTCACTCGCCCTTGCTGGATCATTTTTACCTCATCCCTTTCTTTGGTTCTTCCAGCACTTATTACGCTTATCATTTCTAATTTTCTTATTACCAGCCAGACCTGCGCTACTTTAAATTTTCGAATTCGTGAGATTTTCTCTTCCTTCTGCTGGGGGAGTTTCGTTTCATCTTCTCACAATCAAAGAGAAATTTTTATTACTCGCAATGAGATACACCTGCACGAAACAGTGATTCGAGTTAAATATAAATCTTCATTTGAAATTCTTTTCGTTTAAAAAATCGTAATAATTATGAATAAAAATAATTCAAGTATTTAATTCAATTCGAAATTATTTATTTTTCTAGCACTTAAAAATTTCCTCGAGAATTTTTCTCCATGCATTTAATACCGTCTATCAATTTAAATGGAAAAAATAAGTGAAAAATATCGGACAAGTAGTGAATTTATGGCTGGATTTTAGGGGAATATTTTGAATAATGAAGAATAAATAAATAGAAATGATAATCAATTGAGATTATTCACACCCACTGACCTGCTTCCCCCACTCCGGCAACAATCCCCATTACAGTGAGTAAACCCGAGAAACTAATCAATTTATCTTATTGCGAGTACAGAGCGTTGGGAATACATCGAAATCTGCCTCACCCAAAGGGATAGGTATATGCGTCTAATTTATTTGGATTTAAAGTGAAACAAGAATTACCACGAAATCCACACGAAGATGGAGCATTGGAATTAATGTTTCTCGAAGTGCTCAGCTCCGTGAAATTCTGGGGAATCTCAAGCCCACTCGGATCTGGAATCTAGATAAAGAAAGGATTCTGTGTGGGCGAGAAATTCTCCCATACTGCATTCTCCAACTGATACATTACGAGTCCAGAGTCTCATTTACCATTTCCACTTGAGTAAACTTTTTTTTTTTCTCTCAATGCACCTTCTGCTAATTCCCATATCCTTGGATTTAATTATAATAGCTCATCTGGGGAGTTGAAGTTCTTGGAAAATTCGCATTGTACATCTGCAACGAGCATTAAATGATGCACTGCTGTTAGACTACTGCAACCAGAATTGGGGTGAATTGCAGGTGCATCAAGAGTGAGAAAACAATTCGGTTAATGTCAACGAAATTCACAAACTCCTCGCTGTCCTCCGGGGACACGTACCCAACTCGTAATATTCTCCGATTATGGAGTCATTTGTGGCACAAAAGAACATTCGCATTAACTCCACAGCTCAAGTACATTTTATAAAATTTAATCATCCTTATTAGATTTGCGCTGCTGGAAAAAATTCAAGTGGACATGAATCTGACTATTCAATTTTAAGAGAGCATCGTTAAATTTTATTTGATTTTTGCTTTTTGGGACGGGGAAATTATGGATTCGATTTACAATCGTGATAAATTTATTTACTTATTGGTTTTTGTGATTAAAAAAAATTTTGTTGTCGGTATTCAATAAATTTTGATGGCTTGGGGGAGGATGGGTTGGTGTCTTACAGTGGGAGGAAATACATTTGTTTATTCAATCACTGAAATTAATTGGTTTTAGAAGGAAAGCGCCCGTAGGTCATCCTGTACGTGTAATTGTGTCTCTGTGCTATTAAATGTAATGGTACAAAGTGGTTTAAACTGGAATATAACTACCTGGTCATGATTTTGACATCAGGAAATGCTGTGGCGTCGTTTCGCCTGTAAACGAATTATGAAATTTGAAATTTCACTGGAAATTCGAGGAGTTTTTATGTCCTTGAGCTGTGGCGAGTTGAGAATTTTACGACTCATTTGACATTTTAATGATCACATTTGTATTCACTATCAAATTACTTTGTATTTTTAATCTGCGGAAATTCAGAGATAATAGTGACAATTATCTAAATGACAAATCCCAGTTTTCATTTATTTAAAAAATCAGATTGTAAAAAAGTCTTTATAAAAATTCTCTAGCGAAGTGGGAAATTAGGATAAATGCATTGTGTTCGATGCCAGTTTTTAGCCGAAATCTCGTAATTGAACCCCGGTAAAAAAAATTGTAATCGGAATATTTTTCCAAATTTCTGAAAAATTTTTCAAAACATTTCCCAAAAAAAAAAATTGTTTTATTAATATATTTCGAACGAATGCACTTATTCCAGTTTACGACACCACAACAGATTTTATATTTAGTTACATGTTTTATAAACTATTTCCGAAGAATGACAGATACGAAGGTGTGAGGGCTAAATGCATGATGATGGGGGTTGAGGGAAAATTCAAAAAAGTGGCGGCAGGGGTGAGGGTACAAAATAATGAAGCCAGCAATTATTTAGCCCTTTTGTACACTCATCACAGCAGTATATTACCCTTCATCCCTCATTGTTTCGAAACGTGGCTCATCCAGAATAGCAGAGTGTCTGCCCTGGGGGTCATCCCTCTGTTTTGTTCAGTTTTTTTTCGTTTACATTTTTTTAATACCTATCCCTTTCATTCTTGTCCCACTGATTCAAAAACAAATTCGTGGAATTTATAGCTGAATTGGAGTCTTGAAAATTTTTTAATTAGCAACATTTTTTCGCTGGCAATATGTCAAGAGAATGGCCGAGGAAAAATTGATTGGCGGGCAAATTGCAATCGGTGGTGTGTCGTGTTTGGTAATAGTTATGGAGGATGCGGCTTTCCAAAGGTCCGAGGCTATTAATTTTTGTTGGGTCCGTGAATCTCCCGGTTTTTCATCAATATCTATTCCGAATTTCCCAGCCAAACTCCCGTTTATCCGCCATTTTTCCACTTTTTCACAGCAATTCCACCTATTTACCTCGACAAATAATTAATAACTATTTTTATTGATCACTAGCGTATATGGGCTGTTATCATTTGACTACGACAAAAAAAAATTGCATGCTATTGTTTTTTTTTAAAGGACAGTGAATCGGGAAAAATTTACTTGATGTGGAAAATCTTCTGTTGGAAAATTCTAATGAAATTTTCACCAGTAGAGAATGGGGGAAAAAACGAAGAAAAAGAAATGGCGCAATTGTATTCCTGGATATCGTAATTGAGGGCAAGGTCCACAAGATATTTATTTCATTCCATTCGCATTTGCCGTTCGCTCTCGATAGACTCCTATATATTACCCCTTTTAAAAGTCCCACTATCTTCTCCATTCTTTCTCAATTCCATTCGGTTATTTCACCTGCACACTGGGAACAAATGAATTACCCTCCTGAATATTAAATTGAAAATCAAATTAAATTAAAAAGAACTGGAATTAAAGCGCAGATTATTATTAGCACCCTCAGCAAATAAAAAAAATCAAAAATTTCCTTATCATTTCAATAAAAAAAAAATTCAATTTACAAAAATATACAATTCCAGAGGAATTTGTTCAGACAATTGATTAATGTGAGATTTTGTAATAGACGTGAGACAGAGAATTGCCGAAAAATTTTTAACAGTCCTGCATAATCGAGGGGAGTGGATAGTTAACATTTGGATGGAATTAATATTCATAAAAATATTTGTCAAGAGAGTATTGAATATTTCATGGAAAATAAAACGAATGGGAAACGATCTGGATGGGTATTAAATTGGAATTGGAATACCGAACTCACTCTGTATGGAAATAAATTTTAATTTCATTTTCATTTGTGCATCCGAATTGTGAGAGGTACCAAGTGAGGAAAAATATGTCGGGGCTAGTGGAATCTTACAGTGCACTCGTATTTTTGACACCTCGGGGGTGTGTTATCCCAGTCAATTATGTCTCTGTCACGTTTTCTTCACAACTGAGTCGGAGTGTTTGGTGAAATTCTCACGAATTCCCATGTTCATTTGAATATTTTATTTTCACGAGGATAACACAGAAAGAAGGGGAGCGAATGGTTGTGTGCACAGACGGTTAATTGTTCGGCCTCGAGCAAAAATTAGTCTTCCAGAAAAAATGACAAGAGAAAAAATGAGTAATTTTCAGAAATGCGTCGTTGAATTCGATTTCACTAGAAAAATATCAAACGAATATCGATGAATATCATTTCAGTGAAAATTTTCACTTGACGAACTGAATTGAATATTTCTTCTAATAATAGGAGACTCTTGATAGCCAAAGGATTTCCTTCCGATTTCTTTATACAAGCATACGCTCTTCGGACTACTGATAGTTATCGCTTTACGTTCTAGTACGTGATCCAATCGTCTCGGCAGTCCTCTGATCTTCACCGACAAATATATCCGTATGTGTGAAGTCAATAGTACGATTCGTATGAAAAAAGAACCCCAGAAAAGGTACTCGACTGAGGAAATGGATTCCGTAGCGATAAGAGAGAGCAATTTCAATATGTCGAATCACTGTGGTACGGTAAAACTGGAAAAATAACTCCAGTAATTTCTCATTTTCTTTTCTCTTTTTCAGGAGTGGAATGATGTCAACATGAGGTGGAATGTATCACAGTACGGTGGAGTCAAAGATCTCAGGATTCCGCCCCACAGATTATGGAAACCAGATGTTCTTATGTATAACAGGTGAGTGCGAATTTCACTTCAAAATATTCACTGCATAATCAGAGATTTCCGGGACTTCTCGTGTTTCACCAACAACACATATAGACAGTACACATAAATTTAAATATCGTGAACGATTGCCGTCTCCCACCCCAGGCGAAATTTGTCCAATAATTCCCAAATTTTCGCGAAAAATTCCCAAATTTTCCAAATCTTTGGAATTTTTTAAAATCAAATACTTCTTACTTCAAAAATATTTCCAATCATTTTGAATCCGATTCAATAAAACCAAACGGTTCAATCGCAGACAAATAGATTCGACTATAAGGTTTGACTATATTTTTTTCTGAGTGTTGTAAAATGATTTATTTTTGATGAATATTTTTTCAGTGGGATTGTGTTGAAGGGCCTGAATATTGGTGTGTAATAGGGCGAGGATAGGTCATAGGGATAATGTATGTAGGTAGAGTAGGCATATATGGTGAACAAGCAGAAATGATGGAACGGGGACAGGGGATTATGCACGCGTTGTGGCCTGGAATCGGTTGAGAATTCGGCAATCGTATGTATTTGGCGTGTCAATGTGTGGTATCGATGTGTGGGTACTGTCTGTATTTACTATTCCCCCGATGTTAGTTGTATATAGTAGATTTCGGTATTAGCGATATGATGGGACAGGACTGTGAGGAAAGGGGAATGGAAATTGGTCTAGGGGCAGATCCAACCGTTTAGCAGTGAATGGTACGAATGCCTTTGGGCAGATATAGACCAGATATATATGCCCCGTTTGGAAATCTTCACCAACAATTCATCGGGGCTTCCTCTACCCACATCAGACCTCAATGGGTCAAACACGCTGTCTTGGTTTAAGCACATACACCCACGGTGCATTGAATTTGCTTTACCTCCGGATAAACACAATCGTGTTTAGCATACGGCGAGAAAATCTCTGGGTCGAATGTTTGGGATTGGAGGGGAAGAGTGGATTCGCCCCAGGGGGTAGAGGGCTTTCATTTCCCGGAATAGGCATTTTTTATTAGTCCGAGTTCAGCTGTTTGAAGGTATTCAAGCACTTTGGCAATTTCACCCAGTGAAATTCTTCTCAATTCATTCACTCACTTATCCATCCTCTTGTATAACACAAAAAAAATTCCCTCGGTATTTTTTCACTTGTAAACAATGTTAAAACCGTGTTTATATTCTGAATTGCATGAGATGTCGATTTTATACTGAAAAAATAACACCGCAGAAGTTGAAATAATTTGTAAAAATTGGTTTTCATCCGGTGGAGTAATAAAAAAAATACCTCTCCACTATTCTGAAATTGATGAAAATTACTCAGTGTTAAAAAATTAAATATCCGTAAACGTGGGTGCACCAATCCAGCCGGAAATCCAGATGAAATTCGCAACAAATTTGTTATATCACTGAAAATGGGTGAAGAGTGGGTGGAAAGGACGTGAGTGCGTCATCAAGAGTAAATAGGAACATTCACAATTTTCATTCTCCGCATGAAATTTCCCTGTGTATATTTTCAATGGGTGAGAATGGTGTAGGTGAAATGGCTTCATCGGTTGAATAATTAATCCCGAGAAGCTCTGCAGAGGTTACACATGCGGCAAAATGACCCAGACTGCAAGTTACTGCTGAAACATGAATTCAATATACATGAATACCCCACACGTCGTCTTCAGCATGAACACGAGATCGGTAGTTGTCTCGGTGCTACAGTCAAGTATCAAGTATCCGTACTTGTCTTTACTTTGCTATCACCTTATCCACCACAATGGAGCTAAATGCAGCTGTGCTCTATCTGCAGAGACAATGTGGAGAGAGGGTTTGTGTGCAAGGGATGAGAATGCGGTGACCAGAATCTCTTAGGCTCGGATGGTGCTCTAAGTACTGGTACTAGTTGACCAGATTTCAGAATTTCACTACCTCCACAGATTTTCCTTACGATCCTCGCCAAGTAGACCAACCAACTAATCGAAATTCACAGCCTCCGGGCATTCCAAGGCGAATTCCTGACATTTCCAGTCGGAAATATGTTAACATCTATTTTTTTTTTCATTTTTGGCAACTTGTGGCATTTCGGAAATTCAGTGGTATTCCCTTCGATATGAATAAATTCTTTTCTGATGTAATTTGTAATTTGATGTAATGAAATTCATCAGGATAAATAGTCACGAGAATCGATAGTCCTGTTGTAAAATCGAACGGGAGTTGAATTCAAAACGGCATTCTCCCCCCACGAAACTATTCGCTGCATCTCATCCGGTGCTAATTACCAGGATATTCAGGCGATAATGGATGCCAAGGGCTGCTGATAGCCACTATACATTACATTGGCACCAAACAATTCCACGTGTCGTCGAAAGTATCGGGTGGCAATCTGCATGGACCTCGGCATCCAACAGATCACAATCTGCTAAAAGCACCGAAGGTATTCCTATCCAAGTGGCAATACTCGATCGCATCGAACTCATTACGTATCGACAGACACGAATTTAATGTGCTTTAGAAGGGGTAGAACCATCGGGTATGGGCCCAAATGCAACTTACCCTTGGCGTTCTTCCAAATGCCACCTTTTTCCCCACACCATCTTTCCTCTATTACCTCAACACAACTTCCCATCCTTTATGACGTAAAGTTTATGTACACCCAACCCTTTCATCACAGAGCTCATCTCCCCACGTCCAGAATGCAAACTAATTCCTTCATGCATTGTTGAAAGATTTTTTCATGGAAGTAGAAATTTTTTATTTTCACTTCTGAAAACTTTTCATTCGCAATATATTCGAAAGAGTTTTTTCATTATTATGAGAAATATGATAAAATATCTTGAAGGGAATGAGTATTTTGGAGACCTGAGGAATAGATTGGAATTTCATTAGTAAATTAATTTATGAATTAAAGGTTAACAGCTGTAATAAATTTGTTATATCCTGCAACTGGTGACTAATTGAAGTATTCTATATCGGCGAGTCCACGAAGCTGGCTGGAAAATTAGATTTGAATTGTTTCCAATTGTATCGTTGGTTTGTATCGTTGGGAAGAAAGCAGATGCAGGAGGTAGATTCGATAGGGGCGGCAGGGAGATGATTAGATCGGGTTACAAATGGGTTAGAACCATTGAAACCTACTACCGTAAATGTACTAGTCTGCCACTATTTCCATTTATTCACTCTCCGCCAAATCACTTGCTCATTCCCAAGACGAATTTTATTGGCTCGAGCTGTTCGCTGAGTTTGGGGAAATGTATTCCATTCTGTCGTTCATTCTCAGTATTTTTAAAACAACTCTGTTTATTCTCTTGCTATTTTATTGAGCCTTGAGAAATTATTGGCAATATAAAAATTAAAAAAGGGAAAAATTTTCCTTATTGGGAGATTTTCCCGCGGATTTTCACCAGGCCATTTTTTTCCCTCCATTTTTTTTAGGGGATTTTATTCAGGATATTTTTTTTTTGGTGGATACCTTCCGAGATTTTTTTAGATCCTTATATAAATAATCTGAAAAAGGAGAAGATATTAGTAATAACTTCTTAATATATATGTGGTGGGAAGAAAAATGAAATTTAATGAGTACTTGGATATTCTGTAGGGAGTGAGAAATTCTGTAGATTCCAGAAAATTCTCAGTTCATAACTTGTTAATGACCATTTTGATGTTTCATTTGTAAAAATAAATGGCTGGAATGAATAATAAAGAAAAATCCCGAGGTTTTACCGAGTTCTTTTGAATTATCGCTTCCAGCGGATTACCATTTACTGACTGCAGTACGTTTTGTTCCCAACGCGGCGAACGCAACCTCCAGCTTATAACATTTTCACACGAATAAAACCACTAAAAATTTTCCATGGCATTTCTCATGTTTCTCACCCCATGCTCTTTTTCCCTCCTTCGGCAATTTTTTTCAACTTCTTCCTAAAACCCTTTAATATCCCTGTCACTTGATGTAACGAGTTACCCTACGAGGTACCCGTGTCACGCCAAAAACCTGACAAAAACTAATAAAAGTTAAAAAAATAACTAATTCCCCTAAATTCAACCGCAATTGCCAAGAAGTCTCCGCAAAACACCAGCCAAAATTTCCGAGAAATGGACAATGTATTATTGCCGGTGCATATCGCTCATGAATGTCTCCGTACTCTTCCGATAAAATTCCCATCGAGAAATAAAATCAATCCATGAAATTGAAATAAACGTACGAGCACAGAGACATCACTTACCACGATAATCCGAGGAATTCTCAGCGGTGAAAAGAAATGAAATGTGGGCGGGGCAGGTATATTCCTCGGGTTTGGTATCAAAGGGGAGGTAGGGTGAGGGAGATGGGTGAACAGGAGGGGTGAAAACGGGGTGAAAAGAGGGTGGAGGTGGGTGGTGTAGGGGTAGTGCATCGGGGCTTTGGAAAAGAATGAAATAACGGATTGGGCTGCGGCCAACTGGCCAAGTTCCAACCAATCCTCAGTCGTCCGTGGATGTAGGGCTGCATATACTATACATAACCATTCAACCTTGCGAGTACCATAACCCCCTCTATCCACCCTCATCCCCCACCTTCTCAAACTCCCCTTTATCCTCGACTGGGGGAATGCCGTACTCCAGGCTTTTTCCGAATTTTCATCGGCAAATATTTTATCAATGATTACCACGTGTAAATCCATTAGAGGGTATGAATATTTAAGGGTGGGTATGGCTGTCATGATTTCGTGCAGTGTGTGAAGGGTGGTATTGGAAATATACGAAATTCTCCAGCTCGTTCTTTTTTATTTGGATTGGCTGAATGTTTATTCGTGATGCTGACTAACTGAATATTTGCACTGAGGCTATTTCGTTCAATTTATTTCCAACAATGGCTGTAAATTTTCTTTTTTTTATTGATAAATTCAGTTGACAAATATTTTGCAAATATTAACTCACGGAATGATTTTCAGTGCCGACGAGGGCTTTGACGGCACCTACCCAACCAACGTAGTTGTCAAGGACAATGGCACGTGTTTGTATGTACCACCAGGTATCTTCAAAAGCACCTGCAAGATCGATATCACCTGGTTTCCATTTGATGATCAGCGTTGCGAGATGAAATTTGGCTCGTGGACCTACGATGGTTTTCAGGTAATTAACAGAGATAATAATTTTATCAATGAGAAATAATAATTGATTTTTGGGTGGGGTATCGGAATGGAAGAGTGGATTATCGATACTCGAGTTATTCGACTCGAATAAAATAGAAAATCGGTGAGAATGGGTGCTTTCTTTAAGGCGTAAATTGCCAGAGGGCTGTATAAAAATGTCCCCAATGAAAAGAGACGGGGCAGAACAATTCCAGCAACGTGCATTGCAGTTGAAATCAAATACTGGTGATGCCGACAAGACTCTCGGTTGGGTAATCCGAAGGAAATAAATTTGATGCTCCGGGTATACGCTGAGCTGACTCACAAACGAAATGAATCTGGATAAAGGGAATTCCATTGAGCGTACCGATTGAAACCCTCGGCTCCTTCGTTCCCCATCCAAAATCTCCGGTCTCAGATTCTTCAAGGGGATGAAAATGGAACGATGTAATTGCCTTTGTAATCGATTATTAACCTGCCAATCGTTTCTTCGAGGGATTCAGTCTTCACGAGGCATGTATCATCCCATCAAGAACGTGGGAGGAATGTGTTAAAGTTCCTCAAAGCCTTTTTCCCCTTTTTTGCCCTTTTTTGCCCCTTTTTGCCCTTTTTTTTCACTGTCGGGATTCGGGGGAGTCGAGGGAGGGGGTGGGGGCTGCAAATCACACCCAGTGATGCGACACTGGAATTTTCGTATTAACCTATCGGATGTTGGGTGGAGAGAAGTGATCGCACGGTGTAAAGTAGGTCGGGGTTCGAATAAAACATGGATTCGGTCAATTTTTTCCCCCGGTGATGCATGGACCAATGGTTAAATAAAAATCTCAGTCTAGACGGGTCAGATGAAAATTTAAAAGTGGTAATCGGTAATTAAGTCTCTGGGAACCTGAGGACTATTTCCACCTAGTCGCGGAATTAAAGATAAGGGAATAATTACTATTTCTCACGAGATGGTAAACAAATTTTTCATCGTGAACTAGCCATTTTCTTTTAAATGGAATTCGTGTAGGGGAGGTTTGTCAATTTAATTCAATAATTCGGGGACTTCACTGGAATTCAATTAATTCATTTAGAACGGAGCTGGATGGAATGTTGTTAATAACTATTGGTGATTCCAATGTTTTTTACTTTGAATTCTTGTTTGAACTAGAATGGCATTTTTTGACAATAAATAAATATTGTGGAGTGGATGAAATGTGTTTTCCCGATCGTAAAATGGTACTCGCAGTTTGGGGAATTGTTCTTTTTCTGAATTGAAAGTATAAAGTGAATTTTAAATTCTTTTCTGCTTCAGAGGAGTTGTGGAAATTTTTAATAAATACAAACTTTGGATTTCTTTCGTTGAATCGTAAGCCCGAACTTTTTGCACAGCGATCCCCACTAAAATTCAATTTCACTCCCAATTTCAATTCTCAGAGGGTGGAATATGATCCATAATAGTTGCCTGAAGAATACTTTCCATAACGGGAACCCTAGAAAAGGGAATTATTTTTCTTTGTACCGTGAGATATCGGGGAGAACGAGAATTTTCTACTTGCTCACGATGAGTTGAATATAAGTGAAACGTCTCCCTAATTAATCAGCCGAGGGCTTCGACCCGGAGAGATGTAATTCAAGTTTTTTACATCGTGAGGGCTCGTATAAAAACTTGCTGAGGGAATTTTCTTTAGTGGTTTCAGCGAAAGCGAGCAGTTCATCAAACCCGAGAAATGACAATTTTAATAGAAATAATTCTTGAATAGTTGTATTTTTTCGTTCGCAGAAAAGACAGTGAGGGAATTTAAATACAGACATATTTTCTATGATCTAACACTTCGCTCTCTTTACAAATCTTTTATTCAATGAAGTTTCTTTGTCCATTGAAAAATAGCCATGATAGAATAATTTCTTGGTGAATTTGTCAACTGTATTGCCATTTTCAGCTGGATCTCCAACTGCAGGACGAAGCAGGTGGAGACATAAGCAGTTTCATCACCAACGGCGAATGGGATTTGTTGGGTAAGTAGAGATTTTATTTGACCACGTAACACCATCATCCATGTCTCCATATATTCATAATAAATATCATAGACTTCAGCAACCAGAGGAGCCCTCGATTTCCATATGCAGGAAAATCCCCCGGTCATGACTCTCCTCTCAATTCCTCCCCTGCACTCTTTTATTTCCGGCTATACGGATATGTAGGCTTGATACTTTTTTTTTTTGCTCAGCCTTCACTGAAACTCTTTCCATGTACCATCACTGAATACCCGTTTCACTGCAGATTTGCTCGTGGATCGACCTCCAACGAATCTGATAATCTTCACGTACGTGGCCGAACCCCTAGCAAACGCTCCAGACGTGATTCGAAGATGAAGTAACATCTTGTTGTTGCACACCTGACAAACAATATTTCATCTGTCTCTTCTTCAACTATTAAGCTTACCTGCCGACACTCGCCAATCAATTCTCCTTGTATTTTTTTATCCATCAATATTCCGTAATTGGCACAAAATACCCCAAATTGCTATTTCTATCCAATCCGCATATAGAACCACATGTTCGTATGTATTTGACCAACTTTTCATTAATTGCTCGCTGATGAGTCACCGGCATTTAATCATTAACTCTCCAAACATAGACATTGTTATCGTATCCATCAATATTAATTACGGTTTAATTCATATTAATTGCAAGAGCTTTCGAATTGTTTTTTCTTTGTCAAAAATAGGCTGCCCTGGAATGGAAAAAAAATATGTGAACGACGGATTGAATAAATGAGACCAATTAATGTCATAATATTTATCATTGCAGGAGTACCTGGTAAAAGAAACGTCATATACTACAATTGCTGCCCCGAGCCCTACATTGACATAACATTCGTCGTAATCATAAGGAGACGAACACTCTACTACTTCTTCAATCTGATAGTACCATGTGTACTGATAGCCAGCATGGCTGTGCTTGGTTTCACCCTGCCACCAGACTCTGGTGAAAAATTGTCCCTGGGTGAGTTCATTTATATCTCGAAATAGAACCCCTGCATTGTTCAGGCTGCGGTTATTCTGGTCTCTCTCGGCCAATAGCTATGCAATCAAACAATCCAATTCACAATTACCAGGCCGGGCTCCATGTTCCCACCAAATATAGAGGGTAATAGAAGCGAAATAAAAGAAAAAAAAAATGGCATTGGAAAGAGAGAGTGCAGTGCCAATCACCGATGGAAATGCCCGATCCGAGTCGCGGTCAAATCCCCATTTTCTTCATCTGGACATTTCGAGTTGTCACGTTTCCACTGTTCCTCCATTGTTGAACTACATGCGGTCAGCGTAGTTAGCGATTATCGTTGTTCTCATTACCTCCATTTTAATGCATTGATTCTATTTATGAAGAATATTGGTGTATGAAATAGTAATGGAATAATGAATTTCGGTGGCAGGTGTGACGATTCTCCTGTCCCTCACAGTGTTCTTGAACATGGTTGCTGAGACAATGCCAGCAACATCAGACGCTGTGCCGTTATTAGGTACGTTGAAGTTCCCACCATTGTAACAGTGAAGAAGAATATTCTGGATCATTAAGAATGTGTTTAATTCCATTCGATTGATTTACAGGTACATACTTCAATTGTATAATGTTCATGGTCGCGAGTAGCGTGGTCAGCACTATTCTCATCCTGAACTATCATCATCGTAACTCAGACACTCACGAAATGTCCGAATGGGTAATAATGATCGCCAATAGTTCCTATCCGCCAATCTCCTAAATAGGCTAGTTTACGATGTGTTAATGTTGACTCCAGGTGAAAGTACTATTTCTCGGCTGGCTGCCCTGCGTCCTGAGGATGTCAAGGCCGTGCGACAAGGAGGAGAAAGACGCTCAAAAGTCGCAAAAGCCCTCACCAGTAACAGGCAAGTTTATTTTTCACTCCTCAAGACTTTTATGCACTTGATGTTTATAACGAGCAGTTTAATGTTCAACGATGTGTGAAGTTATGAGCTCACATGTGCTTCATTTCAACCATTACTTATTACCGGTGTATGAGCAGCATTAAAAGCATTCCACCATGAAACTCAACATCTCGTGAGATTTTATTGTAAACATTTGGCTGTTAATGTGCCAAATGTCGTTGCAATGGTGTAAAAAGCTTCCTCACCAGCTGAAATGAATATAAATATTATTTCCAGCTGCCAACAAAGGATACGGTGATCTCGAGCTACCTCAGAGAAGCAGCAAATCATTGTTGGCCAATGTATTGGATCTCGAGGATAATGCCCTGGCGCCCCACAACAACCTGTTAAACAATGTTTACAGTACACCGGGGCCTCATCATCATACCCTATCGGGGCATGGTCACAGTCACATACACACGACTCCGCATCATCATCACAGTCATACACCGGCACCAACGCCGCATCATCAACACGCAACGCCTTTGCCACATTCGTCATATCCGGCCCATCAATTGAGCCATACGCCACACCATCATCAACATCCACAGGATGGTACAACGCCCCAGGTTGAGACCATACTCCAGAGCGCATGTTTCTGTGCACGTTATGAGCTCGTTCTTATTTTGAAGGAAATTAAGGTAAAAAACTACTATCTTAGAACTTTTTATTCAATATTTCACCTGTCTGATGTAATAACTCTCACTTTTTTCTTTATACATTCCGTATTTTTGGTTGATATATTGATGATAAAGGGGAAAATATGGAATGAATAATAAAAAATGGAGATTGAGCTGGTGAAAAGGCACCTGTTCTCAACATTAATAACTTGTCATGTGGATAAAAAATATAGTAACCCTCGAAGTTTCTTTGGCGATCGTCACCCTGCCAATTGGCAGAGTCAGCAAATATGGCCAATGTGTGGGAGAAAATATTCGCGCGATGCCGACTAGAGAGAAAAATCCGTAGAAAGCGTTAAGCTTACGGAGTATCTACCACAGCTGACTCAACTCTCCACCCTATATGCTCCATCTCATATGCGAGTGTTTGGGAAGGATTATTCCTTTTCGACTCGTGTCCAAACTCAATTTTTTATCCCCACCCACACAGCCAGATTACACTCCCTCAAAAAAACAAAAAGAAAATCCTCATTGACCCGTTTTTTTTTTTTCAATATGAGTGGTACAGCACGGGGAATAGTTTCTAGTGAAATAGATATGTGTGGTACACAAGTGGATATATTTTAGAAAATGATGTTTCAAAAATCATGAGAATCATTCAACCCATCATTAATTTAAAAATGAAACTCATGATTATCTGTCACATTGTTTATTAAAAGCTGTTCCATTTATTTATTTCACCAAAAATTATTCCCATTAGGTTAAAGTATATTTCACAACAGTTTTCACTGAGACTTTGTCTCCCTGTTATTTTTATTAAAAACAGCTAATCACGGATCAGCTGAAAGCTAATGATGAAAATACGAAGATAACCAACGACTGGAAATTTGCGGCAATGGTGATAGACAGGATGTGCCTAATCATTTTTACTCTGTTCACCATTATTGCTACAATCACCGTCCTATTTTCAGCACCACACATCATCGTCACGTGATTCAAAAGAGCACACCATAAACCACCATTACGTGGAGCCGCTCATTTACCTATAAATAATATACGAGTATTGGTTGTTACGGGTCGTTTTAACCGTGCTGTAGTCACGTTTCAACAGCAACTTTTTTTATGCTTGTAAAACAATATCGATTGTATAATTATCCTGTGTCGTACTGTGACTTTTATTAATTAAACAAGAGAAAACTGATTAAAAGAGAATAAAATAAGTAAAGGTGGACTTGAATGGAGGTGGGATAGTTGGTGATGGAGTACTCGAGTCAGCAGTCGTCATCATTTTTTAATACTTCGAAGAGGATGAGAGGAATATGTAGTTAGATAAATATAGAATGCTACGAATACAATTTAATACGCCTTAGCGATCATGATTCATCACACTCATGTTACAATTGAGATAATGAATCGGTTTTAATTTTCACCGATTTGAACCGATAGTCGTTGCGTGAGGTGATGAGAATATTCATCTTGAGACATCCTAGGACACTGAATTATTCAGACTAGTTACTCATGAGAATAATTATTAAAAATGAATTGATTTCCTCAGTGTGTGCCATTTTCACGTTAGCGAAATACGCGAAAAACGTTAATGATAACGTGCAATATAAATAGATTAAAGAGGCACACGGCGAAGACACTTTTGTGCAAGGAATGCCAATGCGCACACATTATACTCTCAACACAATGAACTGCCAAGGTGATTCAAATGCCAGTGAATTTTATTATCCGTATCAGTAGTATATGGGAAAAAGGAGAAAATTCATGAAAAAAAAAAAAGTGAAAAAGCATTTTTTTAAATGAGAATAAAAATTGAGGGGAGCCGAAACAGTTATAGGCGAATTTATACTGCGATTGCTAGTGGCGTGCGAATACTATATTATTCTTCGGATACAGATCAGGGAGAGAAGTGCCGGAAAAGGTTAAAAATCAGAGCCATTATTTGTAAAGTGTCAGTACAATTTTATTATTTTTCAACTTTATCATTGGTTTTTAATGGGTCGATAGGTAGTGGGTGAAAAAATTTAAAGATGGAGAGAGAGGGAGAGTGAGAGAGGGAGAGTGAGAGAGAAAGAGAGGAGTTTGCTATTATTTCAGGGAATACATTAACCAATTGATGGAAAAATCTGGAGAGTCCTCTTTCTATCTTGTGAATTTGAATTTACCCACCGCACGCCACTCATTAGCTAGCCAAAACCAGCATTCATTATATGAAAATACCCCAAATCGGATTATCCGTCAACAAATTCCCAGGGTAAAAAAATATTTCTAGCTAATGAAACTGTGAGAGGATGGAAAATCCTCGAGCGCTTCGTCACGATATCATTTATATTCAGACAAGTATTGTCCCGGTGCACGTACTTTTGGGGAAACATCTGGATTTGAGGATTAAAAACATTGTGTGCGTTATTGCGGTGCGTTGCAATTAAAAAATTTGCAAAAAAAAGACACTCTTAATGGATAAAAGGTTCAATGTGTGTGGAGGGAATTTCTTCGTAGCTTTCCACACAGGGGAAAAGTTTCGAGAAGTTTCGAGAGATTTATCTCTTTGTGGGGGATATCCTAATGAAGAGTCAAATTTTATGTTGGAAAAATTGTTAATGCAATTTTATGAACGGTTGACTTATTATCGTGAGGAAGGAGAATTCGTTAAAAAATTTCATCGACTTTTCAATAAACTTTTTTAACGCGTATGATTTATGAACAAGCGTGAAAGTAGGTGAGAAGTTTGAGGAGAATTAAACAATGAAGATAAAACGAAAGCGGAACAGAAGACAAAGTTGAATGGAATGATTGACGTTGGTAATTCAATGGATAATAGGATGCCAAGAGTTGATGAAAATGTTTTAATCTGTATCGGTACCACCCAAGTTTTAACGTTTTCCAACAGAACACGGGGCTGTACACAATGACGAAAAGTGAATTTCAAACAATTCCAGTTAACTTGAAATTTACGTCGTTTCGTTTACACTGGGCTCTGGAGTTATTTATTTTCTGCACTTGTGTTTACTGTTAACGACAGCAACTAAACTCGTTACCTTTTTGACACGAGTGAGAGTTTTTTATGCTTTCTTGTTCTCGTCGTCATTGGAAATTGAGTTAAGGCAGATTGTTGAGGGCTTTGTTGGGCTGAGAGTCGAGTAAACTATAAAAATGTGATGGAGATTTCCAGCTTGAGGGAACTGAAGATTTATCCCAGGGGTTAAACAAACAAATTCCGGGGATAATTAAACGCGTCGCTGACCCGACAACTAGAGGGTATAATTAAAATTCTGTTGTCGGAAATTTTGGTTTGGTATTTTCAATGGAACATTTTTACACTTCAACTGAGATTATCAATTTTTTATTTCTATTGTAAACCGAAAATTACTAGTCAACCGTTGATAAAATTTCTCCAGTCCAATTTTATCATTCCTCAAATAATTAAAAAAATCCATTGAATAATTTATTGAGCCGAATGAGATCTTGTTAACGGATATTCTCGCAGAAGGGTGTAATCCAGAATAATTGAAGACATCTGGTAAAATAGCAACAACCAACAAAAGAATCTTCGAATATTAAAAAATGAATAATTCAGTTGTAAGTAAATTTTTTGGCCAATGGCATTGACGCGACAACCAATCACATTATCTTTTAAATCTACTGAAAATTAGAGTTTACTAACAATAAAAAAAAGGCAGAAGACGAAAAGTTGTTAATGATGTTAATCGATTAATTAATAAGCGTCGAGTATTGTACCGCTAAGAAAACAGAGAAAAAATGTCCGATTCATTAGACTGATGAGAAAATTGAGTAAATTAAGAAGAAAAAATTGTTTTAGAAGTAACAAATGAAATTAATGAACAGCCACAAACACACATGTGATAGGTTACTTTGAAAACAATTTTTTTCTTTTTAATTAACTTAATTTTTATCTCAGTGTATAACGAGACGCAATCACTCCGGTGTTGAAGCCGTGAAACCAGAAATTTCATAACAAATAAAGTGACGAGGGCAGCACGCTGGAAATTAATTAACCAAGAGAAAAATAATAATGAATAATCAAGTTCGGTAGATAATTGCCTCGTTGATAGGTATCAAAATGGTTCCCCGGAGTAAAGCAATAAATTATTGAACATGGCGTTCACGCTTAATTCGAGTCGGTGAATAATATTGCCAGTTTGCAACGCGATTCCTAGGATTAATAAGAAATACGACAAGTTTAAATAATAATAAAACCTAGAAACAATGCGAAATAACTGAGAAGAAAATACAGGCATTAACATTAAGTGCAATAGTTTTTCCATTTTATATATGAAGTCAAAAAAATACATCTCAACACTTGCTGATCATTGCCTGCTGTAATTCGATTTAAAAACAAATTGGTGTCGGATCGGAGAGATCGAGATTGAAACAAAATTACTCGACGGAGATGACGGATATCCGAGCAAATCTGAAATATTATCACGCATTTTATACAGGGGAAAATAGAACCAAAATGGCTGATCAAAAGTGTTAATAAATCTGGATTATATAAACATTGATAAACGCAAAAATAATAGATAACGCGAATAGTCTCGTGTTATATCTTCGCTGTGTCGCTGAGTGATTCGATGGCTATTCTTGATGGTAAAATTGCCAATTTTTCCCACAACGAGGGAATAACTCTGGTGTCTCATCGAGCTCCGACTCAGTTCCGTGTAATCTGGTAAATTTTTCAGAGAAAATTTTGATTAACACCGCAAATAAGGGAAATAATTGCACTGGTAATGAGATTAAGAGAACAAACGTAATCACTCATCGTGTACGATACAACGTATGCTCAAGATAACTTCTGTGAAAAAAAAAAATTAAAAATATAAATAATAATGAAATATAAATAAAGCAGTGAGGATGCACCTCGTAGAAATAAAACTAGCGAGTGTGGGTATGTATTATAAACAACCAGGGATAATGAAAATCGTCAATAATGACAGTGCTGAGACATGATAAATGAGAGAATTGTATCATTCAGAGAATTGTATTGTTGTCAATATTGCCAATTGGCGGTGAAACATTCTTTTCTTCATTTTCATTGATTGAATTATCACTGTAATATGGTAAAATAATTTACAAAGTGCATTTATCCAATCCTGCATTCCTGATGGATATGTACAGCTCAAACTGTATAAAATTATCAATCCGTTTTTCTTAAAAAAAAAATCAATTATCGTATTTGAAATATGTAATACCTTTTTCATTTGTCTCGTCATTTGTACACTGTCCAGTGATTGGAAACGTAGACATTCATCACCGAAGCAGATAATCATTTCGTAACGATAAGAAACTGTTACTAGGAATAATTAGCGTAATTACTCTTGAGGGGTTGGAGTATGCAAAAATTAAAGAACGGTCGGTGATCAGGGTCTCTCTCACACAAACGTTTTTCGTTAATTTTTCTTTCGTGATGATGCACCCACAAAAATCATCGATTTCATTCACATAGAGAATAGATACCCCATAATTTTCTTAGAATGAAAAAAAATATATATTAATAGAGAATTCATTTCGATTGAGATAAATAATTTGTTGGTATCGAGTTGCATGACACCTGATCCTGATCATCTCTGACCGAATGGTTTTGGCATACTGTAAAATTGTACATTCAGTTATAATATTTATAAGGAATAAAATAAATCTAATATCACGAGCCGGTATAACGGGATGTTTCACCTAGTGTTTAGTCAAGCGAATGCAAGTGCCAAGATTTACGAGCTAGAGAGGATTTTACATTACTGCATTGGTACCATCGATATGTACAAGTTGGAATGAATAATGTAGAGCTAATTGGTGTGTTATGACGAAAGGATGCCGAATGGATTAACGTAAACGTCTTTAACTTGTTGTTGAATAAAATAACGAGATTTTTTTTTTCATTAGATTAAATTGAAGAAGTAAGAATTTTGGAGACTACGAAGACGATGGAGAAAGGGCAATCGCGTGTGCTTTGCTTTGAAAATACATAAATAATGGTCTAGATGAAGTATTTCTCGCCAGTTCAATTGAGTTCCCGCACCCCCAAGTCAAAATGGTATAGTTTTTTGTAAATTTGGAACATCAGGGAATACGAAAATGCGAATAGTTGAGGGTAAATATAAATATATATTTATATCGAAAAGTATCTCAAAAGAAATAAAAAAATAAACAATTGAATGATGTTGTCCCCGTGCATAACTCCATGAGAATTTAAGAGAGTCTTCAAAATTGTTTAGGAGCTTGCGTAATATAATCGAGAAAGTATTTTTCTCATTCTGACCACGGATCGTCAATCTTCCGGGTAATTAGAGGAGAAATTTCGTCGATAAATAAAAACAAGTTGAATAATAAATAATAAAGAAAAACTTATTATTAAAATGAATACTGGGAAAAAAGTCACGACTTATTACTCGCCAATCCTCTAGATGAATTACTTTCCACCTAATCTCCAGTAAAACATATGTATATACATATATGTCTATCTTACACTGGATATGTATATACATATACTATTAAATTTAATTAAAATGGAGGTTTTCTTCTTTTGCGAAGAACAAATCCAAATGGCTATTTAGCTACTGTATGGAGTGCTTAATAATAACTTTTACACGACTCGCAAAATAAAGCAAACAAAATAATTGAAAAATAAAAATGATAAATAAAAAATAAACGGTTGTAGTTATAAATTCAGGCAGTTTTTACAGAAAATGAGAAAATAATAATAGTAGATGACATAATGTAACATAATTAAATCTCCGGTGGAAAAAAAATAAATAGGTGACTCTCCTTTCCCGAATTTTAACGAAACATTCACGCTATCTCACTCGCGCAAATTCCCTTTATTCTTCGATTATTCTCCCGAAAGATGAATTAATCTTGCAGAACAATAATTTTCGAATATAAAAAATAAAACAAGACAGCGCTCCAAAGTCGAACGAACTATTGAAAAACATATACCATTAAACATATTCTATACATATTTAAACTATTGAATGCTAAAATCATATTCGTATGAATAAAAAAAAAAACCAATGACATGAATAATCAATTACTGAATATAAAACAAACAATGAGGGCTAGCTTGTAATCAATAGGAATGTAGTGATACTGTGACAGTAACCATAGGGTGGGGTCAAGGTAGTTTTCTTAGGAATTAGGATGAAACTTTATCGAGAACACACTCTCTCTCTAAACTATTATCTTTAAAAAAGATATCTAAAACTTGCCCACACATTTTAAAAATGCTGCTGCGATGAGAAAAACGACAAGATAATGGAAAAAAAATTATGAGGATCTAACTCTTCTTCTTACTCCTTAGATAACTTTGAGGATAGGGTAGATTCTGTGGACACTGTCCCACCAGCTGAGGTTGAACTACTTGTGCGACAATGAAATAATATTTTCTTCAGTGAAAAAATAAAAAAAAAACACACAAGCGAATGAATGAGAAATGGGAAATCACGTGCGTCATTGGCCATTGAGATTGGAAATTGTTTACTTGGGTTGAACGCTGGTGAGACGATGTTGGGAAATGACTCACCTGATCTCACTTGAAACTTTTCATTAATGCCTCACTAACAGCCTGGTTTTTAAATAAAAAATGAAATAATAAATTTAATTTAAAATGAAAAATAGTAAATTCATATTGAAGATTAATGAATAAATAAAATTTGTTATATTCCTACTGGGCTGTTACACGAGGCAACGTTGATTGATAAATGAGAATCCCTGTTAACTGGTGAATACATAATCGCCACATTGTAATATTACAAAACATTATTACGTTATTATGAAATTGTTGAAATAAATGAAATGAAAATAAATGTCTTCCACTTGCTCCTGATTTATTTCATTTTGATCTTTCAAGGTTTCAGAAAATTAATTGTTCTTTGGCAGTCGCTGGGTTCACAATCCCACGAATTTATTTTTATTCCAGAGACACCCCCGCCTGATCCAAATGGATTTTTCTCCAGTGTCATCGGGCATTCGATGAATTTTTTTTTTTTTTAAACCACGTGTATGAATAATTAATAAATATTGGTTACCGATGCAAATCTGCAATCTAGTGGTTTTTTTTTTCAATAAAACCGTTCGAATTATTATAGAATATTGTTTGAATCGTTTGAAGGCCATTTTTTCATTAAAAATCCAATAGTCATTTCTTTTATAGATACTTTTTTTATTTTTATTGAAGATGTAACAGGCTACAATGAAGATACACTGATATCAGTTTTCCGTAATGAGTTTATTAAAGACATGGCATGCTTATTCACAAATTTCGAATAATGACTAAAGAAAAACGATTCAGTAATACAAATAGATAGATGGTGTCGTAATGAATGAGAAGGCAGTTGACGTATGCGTACGATGGGAATAAATAGACTCGAATGTTCGTGCTGGAACAATTTTTCATTAATCCAGAAAAACAAGGCCAGCACAAACATTAGATTTCCTAGAAAGCAATGAACTCCTCTTTACGCCTCCATGAAACATCAGATGTAGAGATTATTCTTAGGATTGAGTCTGGTCTATTTGAAGATTGTATTTATCATCCTTTAGTTTCAATATTGAGCATTACCCTGATTACACCTATGTATCAGCTAAAAAATTTCCAATGACAATCACATGGCAATTTATACGAATTGAGGTGATTACATAAAATTGTTCAGCATCCGGTAGAACAATCGTAACAAAGTTTACTAAATACGTCACTTCGAGAATTTACTTACATCTCACTAGTGAATATCTAATTATTGTATTTATTCGTAAGGAAGACTTTTCGGAAACTGTCAAAAGGAGAGCGGGACTTTGTTTCATTTACCATGGAAAATTAATTACGCGTGATTGTTTTACGAGGTCCTCCACTTATGATGATCATTATAATGTGTCTACATTTACCATTTCATTATTATTTATCTCTCTATCGACTATTCCTCATCAATTTTCCAAATCCCTGTATCTCTCTAATAGGAGAACACATGACAAGATTGGAATTGAAAGCATCTCCTCACGCCTCTTGTTTGTTCACCCGTGGAAGTTCAATTCGTCTTGATTAAATGGTACTTTCCATAGAAACTTAAAAAAAAAATCAATTGTACAGTTGGAAGTTGGATGCTGAGCTGAAGAATTCATCCAATGGGGATAATTTCAATAGGCGGATTACTCATTACTTCCCACGATAGATTTCAATAATACGGTCTTGGTCGACGTATTCGAAAATGTGCGGTGCATCCATCAGAATGCCAATTGTACCAGCTGTTGTCACTATGAAGAATATGTAGAGCTGAAGACGATCAATCACCATGGCCACGTACTTCCAGTCTTCTCGAGTCTGAAAATCACATATTCCACCAAAGAATGAAAAAATAAGAAATCCTCTTTCCGCGTATGAACTTCAATAAATCAATGGCTTACGAGCGCGGAATAGGTTATTTTGATTTGATTCCAAATATTTCAATATTTATGGTTGAATAAAAATGAATTCCATTCTTTACCTGAATATACAAATCTTCATTTCTAAGATGTTCAGCTATGAATTCGACGGCTTCAGTAGCTTTCGTAGCCTCCGGACTGAGAAGAACCGAGTCCGAGCTCTCGGAGCCCCTGCGATCCCCAATTCCCTCATTTCCTCCTCCAGCAGTGCTGGATGTGCTGGTGGTGTGATGAACCTTGCGATTAATCTTGCAGTTGGGATGATGCAGATCAGACAGCTCCATAATTTCCATTTTTGATTTTGCTATGGAGCCTGGCAGGTGCTTTGGCAATTCCGTTGGGCTCCCAGAGTAAGTTGACGCTGGTAGTGTCACATTGGGAATCTCCATCATCCACCTCAGTCTGGTTTTCTTTGGTCTGCGCATGAGAAGCAATGTGGGCAATACCTTAAGGAAGATTTTCCGAATGATCTGGGGCATCCTGTGGGTCCTGGGGCCTCGGAAATTCCAGTTGATGATGACAACAGTCACAAGAATACTCACGGTATTCATGATGAAAGTGAAGAGAAGGTACTTGGCGATGAGGGGAAGTACGAGGGAGGTGGGTGGTAGAATTTTACTGACTAGAAGAAGAAACACGACGAGTGACAGGAGAATACTGATGCCGAGTGTGACTTTCTCGCCGGCCTCTGCTGGAAGGTAAAATACAAGGACGCAAAGGAAGGAGATGAGAACTGTTGGGAGGATCAAGTTGACGGTGTAGAAGAGAGTCTTTCGGCGAATTATTATGTAGAACGTAATGTCTGTCTCCGTGGGGAGCTCGGGGGTCTGGTAAGTGTTGAGATATGCTGGTACGCTGATGATGTCCCAGGTACCGCTTTTCCAGTAGTCAGATAAATCGACAAAATTCTTGTCGTTGTACAGGGCCAATGATACTTGATCTCCGTTGAATGTCCATGAGCCGAATTTCATGATGCAGGTCTGCTGGTCGAATGGGAAGTACGTAACGTCAATTGTGCAGGAACTCTGGTAAATAGCTGGGGGCACCCAGAGCACTTCACCGTTCGGGTAAATAAGAACATTACTCTTGTAGCGAACTTCGTAGTTTCCGTCCGCGCTGTTTGATGGGACAATTTGAAGAAATTCTCGCGTAAATATTCGGTGAAGGAGTTGAAATTGAACTTGGGGGAGACTTACTTGTTAAAGAGGACAATGTCGGGCTTCCAAACTTTGTCAGGGGGTAAACGGAGTACTCCAATGCCACCGTAATCTGCCTCGTCCCACTGGAGCTGATAGTCCGTCCAAACAAAGCGCAGCCACACATTCGATTTCATGATCTGGTTCTTTTCGTTCTGAAAGAATTATCAATAATTTTCATTTATTCCATAACGTAATTAAATGTTCTTTAACACTTTCACGGTTTTAAATTCAATTTAAACGAGATTTTCTACAAGAAATCTAACAGTTAGTCAAAGAAAACGCATGAAACGTTGAAATATAATTATTTAAAATGTAAAAAGCACTTACTACATTGATGAGTTGAACAAATGCAAGACCGAAGCGTACATGAACCTTCTCTGTCATGTTTTGGACGGGCCTGATGAGTTTATTATACCCTCTAAACAAATCTCGAACCAGTCGCTCCTCATCTTCGGAGCACAATCCTAAAAAAAATTAAAAATCCGATCGATCCCAGCACTTTACCGTTCAGAAAATACTCACACCGTTGAAAAAAAAATTATTTAATGCTTACCAACACAAAATACAGTGGATATGAGTAAAAATCTAAGAATCCTCGAGTAGCAGTACATCTTGGGCGGATAGGCATCCACCCTGACTGCCATATTTTCTCGCCGCCCTAAAATCAATAGGGGATGAAATGGGGATGCGAATAATACTGCACCCTGCATTGCCAGCTTCCGAGAACATCCCCAGCCTCCATCTGGTGAAAACACAGGGTGAACCCGGATTTAACCCATCATTATTGACTTTCTCAGCTCGTCCTCTTCCACACAGGAAAAAACAAATGTACTCCAATAATTTTTATTTCAACATTGAATCGAAAATACACAATCTTCAATAGAATTTATTCGTATTAGAGGCTCGGGCATGAAATACCCGTCAATGGAGTTAATTTTCTTTTGGGTAAGACGTGAAAAAAACAAGACCAGAGATTTATTCATTGTTATTTCAATTTTATTCAATCAAGACCAGATGTACAAGTTGTAAAAATAGGTTCCAGCGGCTATATCACATTTTGAGCTGCAAGTTCACAATTGTCACACCACAATTGTAACGATAAACAATGCGAATAACAATCCTAGAGAAAAATCTTGGAATATCGGTTATCAAAAACGATTATTCTACTAAAGTAATCGGCGTTTCTCACCTGAACATTTTTATTGCTCGGTAAAATGGTGTCTGGATGGAAGAAAAATGTGAGGAAAAAGGGAGGGTAGGGTATTTCACTATTTTCTGTGTCCTCTTTGTTTGGCATTTCGTTAGCTAGTAGAATGAGTCCCCCTGAGGGAGACGAGGTAGAATTATCAGTGGAGTAAGGCCCTTTAGTCAGACGGGAAGTTGTTCATGGTTTGTTGATCGTGTTATCTCCGATTATGAATAATTTTCTACTATTCGGAGATTAATTATTTTGCGTCCTAAAATTAAAGATTTTGTTCATATTTTTCAGTGCCAAAATAAATTAATAGCATTTGTAAAAACAATCTAATTCCGATTATCGAGAGGCAGTCAAGATAATATATTATTATCCCTAATTATTAATTTATTAATGCCATCATTGTCTGCAGTAAATGCTATCTCAAAGAGGACTCAAAAGTGTCACTTATTGAAAAAAAAAAAAATTTTTAATATTGATAATTCAGCAGTAGGAGATAATCAGGACAGTGTAGATTTTTCAGAGAAGTGGCATATTTCCAATAAGTTTTCATTTCACATTTTCACATCCTATTAAAAAGTCTTGATCAGCGTTGAAACTGAATTCAACTTCAACTTCAACTTTATGGCCCTTCACACCAGAATGATAACAATAATTCGACGAAATAATGGATTTCCTTCCTACGTTAACAGAGACTAGTCGAGTAGTTGAATAATTACAACACATCAACATGTATTTGGCAGTAAACAGAGACAGTGGTCTCCCCAGATCATCAAGTGCTCGTAAAGGATCATCACAATACTTGCATCGTTCACTAATAATTTATCCGTAATGTTTCTGAATTGTCCACCAAAGTACTCGCGAATCTAATCACTATCGGACACGCAATTGTTACGCTTCAAGTAAACATTGTCCTCTTTATGCTCGTCATTACCAACTAACGACACTTTTTCATAGCCTCCTGTTCTATTTCGCCTCTGGTACACCATGTACAAGTAGATTCCGATACTTGTGACGATAAGGAGAACGAGGCCAAGTAGAATGCTCGTAAAGTAGAACCATTTTGTCGAGTGGGTTGTCCATTCCAGTGACTTTATTATACATCGGTAATCCTTCAGATTCAGCGACACAGCAGTTGAATCGGCGTGGCAAGAGGTGCATTCAATGTCCGATGGCCCATAGCAAGTCATACACGAATAATGGCACAGGCTGCAAACATTCTTCTCCTGGCTGTGAGCCCCGTACGTGCCCCCAGGACATTTCGACAGGCACTTGCCCTCGTAAAGGTACCAATTCTTATCGCAAACTGCAAAATAAAAGAACTTTATTAAAATCACTATTCTCAAATTTATTGCTATCACACAGCAATGCTCTTAATCTCCTCACGACATCAATTCACAATTCATCGCTTTGATGTTATATCACGTATCAATGTTCATTTTTCAGTGAATATTAACTCGCTGATAAGTTAAAGATGCATAAAAACAGTGCATTTTTTTTTCATGAATAACTCGTTCAGTTCATCATGCAATGGGATTGTGCATTCATGAATATTTTGAATGAAAAAAATGATGCATCTATTTTACTGGGTTTGTGATACGTTCAGAAGATTTTTTTTTGCCTGAGAAATATTTACTTGAGTTGGAAATATGGCTTTGAGTATTTTGTAAATTAGTAAATGTTCTGCGATATAATTTGGTTCTTGCACTGAGAGACGAAGAGATTTGGACTTGTGGGTTTTTAAGACTCGTAATGCCAATGATAACAAACAGTAATGGAAATATTAAATTTTTGAAATTAATTCCATTCCAGATATGAACACAATGGATTTATGGGAGGACTTAAAAAGTTTCTTGGAACAAGAAAATTTCTTTTTGCTGAAAGGCTTTTATCTCTCGCAGCGAGAGCCAAATAAATCATGAGGAGATTTAACGATTTAAAAAATTAACAAGAGAGTATTTTCTCGTTCCAAGTAAATGTTCCACGTCAAAAGTACTTTCTCTCTCGGTGTAAATAGATAGAGACATGCAGATAATTTTTCTGGGCTCAATGTAAATATTAAAATGCAAGACATAGCGGAGTAAAATCGGGAGTACTGAATTGGCAATGCCATGCACTCTGGGAGGTATATCAGAGCAGTTTCCATGGGAATTTTAAATAACTCTCTATCCATGCGATAACAAGCCATTTCTCGGATAGGCCAGGTGAATTTTCACCCAGCCCTCGCGCTATTCCAATTTTTATTTTTCCTCTGCCATTCACAAACACCAGAATTAAAAGAGAAAACTAGTGAAGCCTCAAGCGTGAGAATAAAATGACTAAAGCTTTTTGTGAGTAATATGATTGTGACAAGCGTTAGATAAAGGGCATATAAAACGAGCACGGAGTAAAAACAGTGAAGTAGAATGAGAGAATCAGACTCACCGTGGTGGTGAAGCGATATTCAGGGATAGGTCAATTTTTGCTTGTACGTGTGCGGTTGGTGGAATAGTGGATGGTGGTAGTGATGCTGGTCTGAGATATTCCACTCTGCAACACGCGAATTTTTTTTTTTTCTGGTGCGCGAGAGACCCGTTGTCGTTGAATATTTTCCGGGTATATATATTTTTTTTATGATGCCTGCTATCAACAACTCGTGAATAAAAAAAAAATATATATGGAAATATGATATCACTCGGAATTTATCAGGAAAGTTGGTGCGTTATAGGAGTAAAAAAAATGAGGACATTGTGGAGTATCTGCCATTTACACAAACGTATTGACCCCATCGGTTATTGGACTCTTCAGTAAAATTAACTGAAAAATGCATGCAATATTGAAGAAGCGGGTGGTAAAAAATATTTTTCACTGAGTTGGATGAACCACCAAGCCACCGCGTATTGGCACGTGTGAGAGAGCCTTCCACCCAACGGAGAGTCTTTAGGACGATCGATAACATGACCAATAAACCACAGGACATAGAGTTACAGTAGAATTTCGTATGAGTATTATTAAAAATAAGAGGATGTTATATTAAAGCTTAACAATGAAGTGCTGAATTTAATTCATAAAAGTGAGCGTGCAAATGTTATTCAGGATTCTTTCCTCGTTTAATTCAATTTCGTGATATACAAATTGTTTTTTTTTTTCGTTCATTATTATTTCGTTTTTTTCTCGCTTATAAGGTTTCATAATTATCTTCAATTGCTTATTCATTAGGTTTTATACTTAGGTTTATGCGTATAACTAGCGAAATGTCGCACATCACTTTCATTCTTTATTTTGTATATATTTTTCATGTACGTTTTTCGTGTACGAAAAATGTCACATCGAACTGAGGGAAAACATCATTGTGCACACGTTACAATATTTTCCGCTTTTTCGGTTCTCTCGCAATCTATGACTTAAGGATATGTCGCCCCTTTCAAGCAGATAGATTTTACAGTACATACAAACATTTACAGTAGGTACATATATCGTAGGTTATGCATCCACGAAAGGCCAGTTTATTAATCTTGTGAACTGAAATAATCTCCAAATGGAAAATATCAATTGAAAATTCTATTGTCATCAAACTTTAGTCCTCCAGTCAGCCGCATGTCATCTATGAAAAATTCATTATCACTCCAGATTATTGGAATTTATTAAATAAAAAATGGAAAGAATACTCTTTGCTGCTTTAGTGCATCAATTTTAGAATTATCGTTGGAAATATTCCTAGCGTCACTTGTTGGCCGACAGTTCCCTTGATTGACGCATTGAAATAGCAAAAAATGTCGAAGTGAATATACTTTCTTTTTTCGGTAAAACCTCACGGATTTGAACAGCTGAACTGACCAAGTTCACCGTCCAATTCTCCCATTGAAACATCATACTCTATTTACGACATAATATTTACATCGTTCATTAAATAAGCACATACAATATCATAAAGCTATAAGCCCGGAGAAATATACAACGGAATTTGTGCAATTAATAACGTAATTCTACTCATTAAAAGAGACAACAGGATATGAATTTACAGATTAATTGGATATGTTTGTGAATAATATGTGACAAAATTCATAAGGTAATGCAATCAACAAATAACCACTGTTGTAAATATATTTCGTCCCTCATTCGCGTCGACTCAGTGCTCCATTATTATTATTATTTCCCAGTATCTAACATAAAATGTACTCAAGAATGTAACAATGCTATCTCTACGTGGGATATTAAAATTCTTATACTCCGGAATGACTCGGTGATTCACTACAATTCAACGAAACTATTATTCATCTTGATTCAGAAATAATCGAATGGCAAACGGCTGTTTAAACTACATCCTGACATGTGTATGGATCGTAAACATCAACAAAATTCAATCACAGATATTTCTTTCTTTCATTTCTAGACATATGGCATTAACAAATTGGATCAACGATTACAACTGCCTAAACTATGGCAATTCCAGCACATTAAACTGCAATTGTTCATTTGTCGTGTGCAATAAAAAATAACTCTTCTCACATTGGGAAAGCAATCTGAAAAATCGGCAGTCTAATTAGGCGAATACAATGTGACACTCGAAATAATTACGCAGTACTCCAGGACGGCATTAAAACCGGTATGAAACTTCATATTTATCATTAATGAACTTGTAATTACTTTCCAATTGATTCTCAATCATTTTCACGAGCTGCTTCAAATTAATTATTCCAGTTTATTTAATTACTCAACGACTATTTCCTGGCCGTGTGCAAACACTCATCAGTTTTTCGTCAAATCCTACACTTCCATTTCCTTTTTTTTCTATCTGCAAAAATCTGCATTCTGATCTTACTCTAATTCCTGCGTCTGGCGTTCTTCAAGTTATATGTACAGAAAAAAAAAAGTCCCTCGTTTAATTCTTCAATTGAACATACCTGAAGTCATTCAGCCACGTGGATATTTAATACTGATTCCCAGTCATGGATAAACTTTCAATTCATTATAGCCATTCATGCGTTCATCATACTTCCTTGCATATTCATATTCTTCTGCTGGTATTTCATACAATTGTCTCTATGAAACCGCTTAAATTGATTATTTGGCAACGTTATGAATAGAAAATAATTTAATCGTCGGTTTTTTTAATTGCACTTTATCGTCACGACGTGATAAAATAGGATTAAGGAGAGAAAAAAAAATCATTTCCCATGCATTCTCTTCATTCCCAGATTATTTTTGCACTTTGAGAAAAAAAAATATCCCAAACACTGACTCGACGATCAGCTGCACCGAGTCCCACACAATTACCCTATACACATACAACTTATCCTTTTTAATATTTTACAAGAGTGAATGTTTATTTCCACTCGAGAACTAAAAATGATATGAAACTGCGAAGCACACGATTTTTCCTTGAATTGGCCCGAAGGAATTCTAAAATCACAAATCAGATGAACAACGGAAGTCCTGATATGACTGAACAGAAAGCAAAAAAATCACTCGATAATCTATGATTTTCAATGCTCCACAAATAACTAATATTGTCACTGCATTGATTAGAAACATTCGAAGACGTTATCAATTTTTAAATACTGACATTACGTATCCCGCAATATCACTTTGAGCAAGTATTACGTGTATCATTGAACACCGTTGAAGCTCTGTTAAATTTCCTCTTCAATTGTTAGTATTTTTTCTCATTTACATTGTAGCTAGAGGCAGTGGCCAAAGGCTCCGAACTATCACAAATAAATACCGGAGAAAAATACATACCACATCGAAGGTGTAACTGGAAGATATTTGGCATTTGGGTAATCACAAAAATCTCTCAATTCTCGGTTATAATTTAAATTATCAAAATCATTGTGCAATTTTATCTAAGCGATAATCTCAATCACTCGTTCAATAAAAATCAAGAGATAAAACCCAACTACTGCGGTCTATATAACAATTCACACATTCTATCAGTCACACGTACTCACATGGGCCGAATCACCTAGGGAGATGAAAATAAGATTGGAATAAAAGATACGTCAAGAAAATCGTAATGCACCTCAGGCGCCGATAATTGACGCACTTCATCTTGGTTGCCAAGTAAGTGTTTGGAGGAGAAGGAGAATGAGGAGGCACCCACCTAGGCACCCGTGAGAATCAAAACTCCGGCACGAACCGCTCGTTTGATTCTCCGTCGTTGGCTTCTCAACTTCTGGATGGGATATTAGATCCACCTGTTGTCTCCCAGTCCATGGATCACCCTCGGTATCAACGATATTTTGACGACCCTCGATAGCTAAATTCTCCTGATTGACATCAGGCGAACCAGCTGGGCTCAGCTTATCCTTGTCCAATTCGTCGTCAAACTCGATGGACGTTTCCGTCCCATAAAACACCAGTTTCCATTCGTCAAGGGTATCTGAAATTAAATTTTCATTTATCAAATCACCTTAAAAATTCAATTTTCCCTCAACAAGGGTATTCACTGGATTGAGACACCGAAAACTCGTCGGGACATGAGGTACTCACATTAAATGAATTACTAGTGACTAACCAAACTATAAACCAAATACGAGCAGGTGAGGACGACTCACGCTCGAGGAAGCCTGTGCCTCTCGTTTCGTATTGTAATACTGTTATAGCAAGTGCTGGATCAACTTTGCGTGGTCTGGCACTGGGAATCGGGGAACAGGTAATGCTAGCGGCTTTTGCTTTACTTTGGAAATCTACCAAAATGAATTTTGAGGAGGGGAGGATTTCACATTTTCTGATTAGTTTTCGGCTTGATAGGAAATTTACACTGCCGTATCCATTTCGAAATTTGGCTAACAAGCTACGAATAAAATTATAAATACTAATTGCCACTAACAGTGTGAGAGCATCATCTAAAACATCTGAAATAACGGCATGCCTATAAATTCCATCGACAAAATCTGCAAAAATAAGACGCAAGAAAGAAAAAACAAGACAAGATGAATAACTCTAATAAATAAGATAAACACTGGTGATGTCACCTCCACGGATCTGCAGTCACGTAACATCCATTATACTCACGCTAATCGAGTTTACAGACGAGTTAACATACTTATAACAATAATTTCCTCCATAATTCTCGAATTCCACCTAAAGTCTCCCTGAGCTAGAATTTACACACCGTTGAAATTTTTATTTGACAATTCACTTGAAAACCCATTCCGCAAATTTAACCTGGAATTAGAACGTGAAATTCTGAGTAACCAAGCGAGTACCAGAGTGTTATTGCACAGTACGAGATAAAACCTCTGTGCTTAAAGTTTACACAATGTATTCGCTGATTCCAATAACAATCTTTCGATCCTACCCCCCCGTGGGGATGAATATTGCAGGTGCGCGCTTTTTTCCTTGCATCCAACGGGAAAAGAAAAAAAAATTAACAAACTCGACTCGGGTTCGTTTCATTCCCAAATCGGAGCTATAATCCTCCAATCGTTACTACATGGATTTATTTTAAAATACACATTCGAAAATAAAGAATTCATATCTGCGATTGGGAATTTGAAATAACCGCGAAACGAGTTTTTTTTTGGTAAATTATCGCGCGATCCATATTAAATCCTCTGAATAAACAGGCAACCCGGCGTAAGTAGTTTAAACGATTTATGAGGGATCCAGCAAGATTATTTTCCTCAAATTCTTTTTTTCACGTGTACGAGAATTTTTTTTTTTTTCCCACCCTCCGAGGGGGGTCTGGGGTACGTTGGCGCCAACGTCCGGGAAATTAATAAAGCGTCACGACGTCGGCGGGAAAATTCTACTCGACCCTCGTTGCTCTGCTGAGTGTACCACAGCATGTTGGTGAGAGAAAAAAAAAGGGGGTAAGCGTAAAAAGAACGTGAAAATGAAAGAAAAAAAATGTGAGCGACGGGGTTAAAGGTGGAACAGAAGTGTGTTGTATATTGTTGGGCGCTGAGATTTTCATGCTGCAGCACTCGACAATTTTCTCTCGTCGGTTTTATTTAGAGTTTCTCCACGGATATTAATTCACCGCGTAATTGAGATCAATAATACCCCCGTGATTTTCCAAGTATAAGGTACGGTGGTGGCTACTCCAGAGAGACAAAAGAATTTTCACTTTCATATTTAATTATGCAAATTCGGTCCAGAAAATGAAAGCCTTTATCTGATTTTTCCGGTTTCTGTTGAATGATTCGAAGTAAATATCAGCTAATTGCCTCAAATCATCAACAATTAAATCATAATGACTTTGCTGAGTAAACCCGTGGGAAAACGAGGAAATATCCGGGGATGTTACTCATTGTACTCTCGTAACGAGCGTTCCATCATTTTAATCACTACTGTTACTGAGCTAACAATACAATAATAACCCGTTTATGATAATACACACGAATAACAACCAATCATAGAGACACCACTCGTCGTCACCCACTTTACTCCACTATTAACAAATAAAACGGTAATACACTGTTAAAATATTTTATCTGAAATTCAACAATTGCTCTAAAAGTGTAAAACCATTCGTAAACATTCATTAAACTAATAACAATAAAAAAATAATAAGAAGCCCAGCTCAGAAAATGGTAACAGGTCGCAAAAATAAAAGAGTGAACGAGCGAAAAAACTAAAACTCGTGCAGAGCGTAATTGATATAATTATCCGAATACCCTTATCAGTGATCTGAAGATTTGTCGAGTCAAACTGTTGATCCTGAAGTAGATCGAGTCCTTTTGCCCTGGCGGCATGTTGGTCGACACCCCTGGCGCCAGCATAAATCGGATATAATGGATAGAGTTGTTGGATTTTAGGGTACTGTTGAAAAACAACAGGGACTTTATTGGTGGATGCCTTGGAGGGTGGCTCCATGAGAATGAGTCCCCGTTGCATAGGAGCCATTGTTCCAGCATCGATAATCCTTAGCTTTGGTGATTTAGTCGCTGGTTTGGTTGTAGCTCTGAGGGTTGTTTCGAGGATCGGTCGGGGGGTGCTGCGACCCCGAGGTCTCAATGTGATACCGGATCCACGTCCGGCATTCAATCCCCGGAGACTCTGTACTGTTGGTCGTGGACTCGGTCTATTGGCCGATTTGCCATTCTTGTGCTGGCCCCGGGCTTTACTTTTTTTCGCTGTCTGACTCTGTACACCCGTCACGTATGGTTGACTCATACCACTGCCCGGCTTAACTGATTTATTTTGCTTTCCTTTTGTGGCGAATGGATTGAGAGCATTTCTCGAATAATTCGATTCTCGCAACTTGATGAATGACTTTTTCGGGGGATTTCCACTTGCTGGACTGTACAATGCGTATTCAGACCGATCGGGGACTGTTGCTGTACCGTAGAACATCAGTGCCCATTCGTGTAGAGTAGCTCGACCTGAGAATTTTAGGTTTTTTTTTTTTTGCCCGGCGAAACCCCTTCGGTTTCGAGAATTTTTCAATCGTCATCTTTAACCTTTACACCGTGCGTATTTGTCGACTCGCCATTTAATTTTTTTTTGCTTACAACTATTGATAAATGTAGGAGGAAAATCAAACAATTGAGACAATCGGAAAAGACGATCGAGACGGAGCGATCGTCTGATAGATCATGGGGAATGGTGAAATGACGTTGTCAGAGGGACGCGGTGTAAAGGTTAATATCTACGCAGAATGAGATATTTCGCAGGGAAGACTTCGTGTCTCGACGTCTTTGTGATGGATCGTAAAGAAGTGGATTTATCGGCATGGAAACATCGGTGTCATTTCGATATTAATAACACGAGGAAGTGTTCAATAAAGGGAGGAATGAGATTGGTCTCATAAAATCCTCGAATACTTTATCCCTTTTCATGATGAGTGTCAGATTTCAATCAATCATTCCTGCAATTTAATCTGCAATAATACAAGCTAATTTGATAGGGGGAATCATGGCAGATTCTATCGCACGGAAATAAACTGGCAACTGTTGAAAACCATGAACTACAGGAGATCTGGGAAATTTAACTTGCTCTTGTTTCTGTGATCTCCAACTTGTGAGAATTAACCACTGACCAAAACTGGGCTTTTCGAGTTTAACACTCGTCTGGGTTCAAAACCTGTAACTATCGCAACTTGATACGTAGTCATGTGTAATATTATTACAATCTATTATCCTTTGTTATTCTGTGTAATTAATGATGTTAGTTGGGGGGTAGTTTACCGGGATGATCGAATCGCAGTTCTTGTTCGTTTTAACTGAAGTTGTTGGTGAATCGAAGTTCATGGATGGGGGAATTGATAATGAGATGAAGTATTGATAAAAGATAATTAAACATTTGAATTTCTCGGAGGAATTAGTGTAAGATTATTAACAATTCATTTCAAAAGAAAAAGAGAAAATGCAAATGCCTTTCGTTCTTCCTTGGAAAAACTTCATGAATATTGATTAATTGTGGGACAATTTGTTCTGAATCCTAGGGAATTACTGGGAAATGAAATAGAGTAGTACCTGACTGGTGATGGTTTTCTTGAATAAAAAAAATTAAATTTGCATCTGACATTTGAAGAAAGAGATAAAGGAGTAGAAGAGAGAAGAAAGAAGAACTCACCGAGATATCGACCCTCATTGTGAATTTCTAGCTTCCATGTGCCATGCGGTCTCTCTCCCCAAGTATGCACTGACATGAATGGCCACTGGTTGAAACCTGCCTTTGAAATATCCTGCAGTCTCTTCGCCAGTAACGTACTCTTAGTGCCCTGAGGTGACGTCAACGTAATTTCAAGATCTCCTCGTCTAGACGCCATCAGCGATATTTTCGCCTTGGTAAAAAATAACAGAACAGAATAATCGGTTTTACTCGTTATACTTATCTCAATTACACATTGTCAATCGTGAGGGAGATGATTACCTGCACATGCTCCAGGAAATTTACTCCACTGCACTCCTTCACGTGCAGCTCTAGCACCAATTGACTTCTGGATGGAATCTGTCTGTAAATTGATGACCGTTCAATATCCAGGATGTTGGGAAAATTGAAAAAATATTTTTCAATTGGTTATTCGCAAGTCAAGAATTTTCCAGCGGTAAGTCGGCGTTAAAAAAACAATTAAAATGACTTATAAATTAATGAAAAAATTAATGATGGCGAACCTGTTCATGTGTGGGGCTGACACCTCGCATTTGTGCTGCTCTGGCACTGTTCGCCATTTTTTAGCAAGTCGCACCATCGCTGTTGCGTCCATTAAACCATACCCAAAACTGTGACTAACTGAAATAAAAAGAAGTGAAATAATGCGTGTTAGAGTGGTCTTCAAAAATTGTTGACCACAACGAAAGCGTTTCAATAACCATTCGGATATTGAATTATTGAAAACCCCAGGCCCCTAGACCTTATAATTTTTAGGTCAATCAACTGAGAAGCGTTGAGACTGAAAATCTCATCTCTAGAAGTTTCTCCATAAAGTTTTATGTGAATCCACCGCTGGAGAGCTCGTAGAGTTCTGAAAACTCATCTCATCAAATTCGATTGAATTTTCCGTCGAAATAATCGAACACAAAATGCCGTGTCGACCGCACCGATTAAACCACAGCCCATGGATTTTCCAATAACCACCCGAAGGTATCCCCAAAGTAACTGAAATATGTTAATTGACTTACCATTTCGGCCAACACCATTGGTAACCCAATCTGGTGCCTTCAAGTTTGCTGGTTTTGCGGTTCTAACAACAATGTGCTGCATGTCACGCCACGTAAGCTCTCTATTAGCCTCGAGGGCTAGTGCACAAATACCAGCAGCGAGTGGAGCTGATGCTGAAGTTCCCGTGTGACTACTCGTACAGTGATGATGTAGATCAGTTGTGACAACCTGCTTCTCACCAGTTGATCCAGAACTATATGTTGTTGCTAGTGTTGACGAACATGCCTCACTGTACCACGGCACTAAACCATTTTCCGTAGCACTACTTATTGATAGTGTCCATATGCTATTTGTGTAACCATCGCAATTGCAATTGTCGTGGTCTCTCCCCCCATTACCCGATGCCCACACAAATATTGAACCTTTGCCACTACGTCCCTGCAAAATACGAAATAATCAACTATCAGTAATAACCACGCAAAAAATCATTAGCCAATCATTGCCTTTACCTAAAAAAAAAAAATATCTCATTCTCCCTGTAATGACCATTCATCAACTTCTCAGGGATTAAATTCTCGTCAAGACAATAATTATAAAGAAATTAATTATTTCACAACTTTCAGTTCGAGCAACGAGAGAACGAATGGAAAAGTTGGGAGAAAATTTAATAGATCATCCAATTTTCACCTGCCTCGTGCTGTTGAGCTTTGAAGCAGGATACCGATAAATGTGTCCGTTCGCTGCATTATTAACTCTCACTACGATTGAAAAACCTTTTACCGTTTTCCCAATTGAAATTTAATGTCAGTCTCATTAACGATTGACCGTGATTCAACGCTCAAAGCTGGAATAAAATTGATTACAGTAATGGACAACATCCGGTCTCATGTTTTTCATCCCTCTCCTTGACACTGCGAATTCATAAATTAACGTAAACCGAACGCATCGCACTCTACGGGCTTTGAATTTTTTAATATAGATTGGGTGATTTATCGGCGTAGAAGCCCCTGTTTTATCCATCCGCTACAAGTGGTCAACTGTTTTATTCGTCAGGCTTGCATAATCCAAGAAAACCCCGATTACCGGTGTCTAATAGTGAAATTCTGGAAATACCTTTTGGGAGTCAATGAAATCCTGAAAATACACATCAGAATTTGCAGGAATAATCGCCTTGATATTGCTTTGGTATTTCTCAACTGTGCCAATAATATTATGTAAAACAAATCCGCTGACACTGAAATCAATTTTCGAAAGGAATTGTCATTACACTCCCCTGCATTTTCAGTGAAATTCAAAATTTTATGATAGTCCCGGAAAATTATCAGTCGACTCTCCATGAAATTTTTATTTCTCCCTAACATTGTATTCATCCCCAACTTTCCCTTCTCCGAACTTCAACTCCGAAGCAACAAAAAAAAAACACCCATAAACTTCGATATGAAGCAAATAACATGAATACTTCAATTTGATTATTACTCTCTGATGTTTTCGTTCGAAGTTCGTTGAGATGGAAAACCTCCTTGAAAATCAGAAAAACTCAATGTGAAACTTTGACAATTTTGATCTCCCCATTGCACTGAGAAAGAATCCCCCGGTATGCATCGCCTCATCCCTGAAAAGGCATTATTATTCGCGCGAATATTCGGAGTTGAACACCGAGATGACTGAGTTGCGAGATAGTTTGACGAGTAACTTACTTTTTCATTGTCAACGTTGCTCGGGAACACCTCGGAAAAAAGAACCGGCCAATATTAGCATACGATCCACGAAGGCCGGGTTAATTGCCAAGTTATACCGCGATGAAGTAACTGGGGAATGGCCCGAGAGAATGAAATTGCGGAAGAGTCACAGTGGGGCTCCCCCGAAGGCCCAACGAGAAAGGTCAGCCCACTTCATAACTTCGCGTTTATACACAGAAAAACTTAAACGTAAATTCCACTTGAGAAATCACATTTGATGCATACCAAAACATATTTTACCCTAAACTTGGGGCATAAATTGAAAGAGATATTTAATATTTAATGCGATCGAAAATATAGCGTGCCTGAAAAATCCATCTGATCTATACCAACAAATACCCGGATATAAAATATAAATCCTATCCAATATCCTTTTTTCTCCAGCTGAAAAACGTAAATGAAAATTTCTCCCACGTGACCTAGAGCGACCGAATCCAATAGCCTGACCTCCGGGCATTCAATCTTTCAAGGGGACTCTGGCCAAGATACTATCGATTACGGATGGTGTGCCGGTTTTCTCTTATGCTCTGTGTTACCCCTTATCTCGCAATAAACAATACAATTCAGTGGAGTACATGCACTAAGATAAATGCTCTCGGTTGAGGGGACCAAGAAACTGTACGTTTTGCCGAGTCACAATACTGTTTGCACGGGGTTTTCTATTGTCTGAGTAAGAAAATGGTCGGCTATATGATGGGACAGCTAGTCTATTTCTATCTTCAGATACTGGGGAGCATTCTCATTGTTAATTCTCTCTCGGTGAGGTAAACAATGGACTTCGCGATGTCTCTGATGACGATCACTTCATCAAACTTGATCAACAGCTCTTTAACCTCGTAGGAATTACAATCGATAAAAATTCTATTATTTTTTTCTAATATGAGAGAATGAGATTGACTAAAAGCGATAAACCATCTTAATGGTGATCGGCGGGGCTGGAGAATGTTCCATTCTCGTCAACTTGAGGATTACGGTAAGTGCAGTACTAGTGTCATGAAAACAATGGCCTTTAATGTTAACGATGAATTAGTTTGATACAATACCTTGGTAATTCCTTCGATGAATGCCCTGGTGGCGAGTTCACCGGGGCCATCAACGGTTTTACCATCGTCGTCAGGACCCCATGAGGCACTGTATATATCTATGTGCTGAGAATTGAGGCTTAAAGATCTGGCTTCAACGGCATCTGTTACGTCTCCGTCCAACATTCTCACTCCTGCACATTGACAATACGAGGAGATTACTTAAGGAGATTGGGTCATTCGCAATTCGAGTAATTGGAATCGTTACATTTGTCATAGAGTTCTATTACTCATTGAAAATCAACTCAGGGGAATAAACTGGTGCTTTCAAGGGAATTGAAGTAAAGTAATAATTATTGTTTAGAAAATTTCTTCATTGGGTTTCTCCAATTTTAGCTTTGAGGATGCTGGAAAAATCTCAACCCAAGTGCTTACCTCCGACTCCAGCTCCATATGCCACACCGACAGCACAAATTGAATTGTTTGCGGTCGCTGCTACTTCACCCGCGCATCTGGTGCCATGACGATTGCTGTCTACCAGGTCATACCGCGGCATCGGGTCATCGTCGTGGGCATTCACGTCGTAGCTTGCCTGGGGATCCTGTTGAATAGCCAAGAAAAATTGTCATCTCGTATTTCAGGATGGTTAAAAAAATAAAATGCCTGGTGAAGATCAGGCCTGGGCTATTCTACTCACGTAATTTCGGTAGAGATCCGGGTGGTCTTTTTCCAGGCCATCGTCCAAGATTGTCACAACCACACCGCGACCAGTGATTCCTTCTGCCCATGCGCCCTGGACGTTCATGTCGAGCCCATGGCCACGATTCTTCATTGAAAATATCGTCAATTTATTACTATATCATTTATTTGTCAATATAAATTGAAGAGAGAATTCGAATTAGATCCATCAGCAGTCGAGAATTTTTTTAAGTAAATTTTCTTTTTCGTTATTTAGAGAAAGAAGTGCCCGAACAAGTGTCAATATTTAGTGAAATTTAATTTGAGTTGAATGTAATGGTAATAAATTTAAAGTGGCTTAATGGAAATGAAAAATTTTCTCTCTGTGAAGGAAAATCGAAAATTCTCTTTGACAGAAGCTCTCAGTTACTCACCAAATACCACATCTGCGGCCATCTGTCGTCGTTGAGGATTGTTTGTACGTTGGCAGGACCACGTTTATTAATTAAATCCCTCTTAAGTCGGGTTTTGATTCGTTGTTGCTCAGCTCGACGTACTCTCTTATCTTTAATGAGGCGACGATGCACCCCCAGGTGTGGCTGCGTCGACCTCTTCACCACGGATCGATGCTCGAAATGATAGCAATTGTCGAAAATCTGTCGAAAATGAAGGATCCTTGGTTCAATAAAAAATACCAAATCACTAAAATTTAATTTTGTAAATGACAAAAAAAAACGAGAACATTTCAATAAATTATTATTTTTTTAATTTGCCGAAAATTCATTAAGTCTTCAAAATTCTTCAAATAGAATCAAAAGAACTGACGTAAAATTCAGTCTAAAAACTTCTTTTCTACCAGGGTGCCATTTTTCTCTGGCATTAAGAAACTTTTTCTCTCAGCGGATTTGAAAAAGCGGTGAAATTTAGCGTCATCCCCACGGGCCAATAACCGGTATGAAATTTGTAATTCTTCCAGTCTGCTGCTGGAATTGTCTCGGGTTTTTTTTTTCGCGTTGAAAATTATGAGGAGCATGACATTAATTTCTCTGGGATTTGACAGCTGGACCAAACCCCCGGAGTGTGAAGTTTGTCTTCAGCATAAATCCCCAAGAAATTTCCACTGAATTTTGCCGAAAAGTTTTCTACATCGAAGAGCGCTCAAGACCATTTCAATCGATGCCTAGAAGAAATACAAATCCTCCGACGTAAATTACATTCCTTCAGGCCATTTATCGGCCTACGGCAATGGGTACGATTTGCCCGCTTATTTTATATCTCTCTACATTCACCCCCGGGGCCTTAACAGAATTGCTTTCATTCAATATTCGTTTCAATCTGTTCAACAATTCAGGTGGACTTGTTCCTTTTATCAGGTTCAAACAGAGTAATGGTGGATGCATCAAAACTAGTCTTTTATCCAAATCAATGTGATATATTTATATTATATTATATCCTAGACACCACTAGGAATGAAATGAACTCAACAATCATCTGTCTCGCATGCTCTTTATTCAGATAAAAAGGCAAAAACCAAAGTTTCCAAACGCATCAGGTATGAATTTCCTGCTCTGAATAATTTATTAAAAAAACTTGGCTGAAAAGCTCCATCATCTCTTTTTATTATCCCTCGTAGCATCTCTACTCTCCTCCATTTTCATTTCATAATTCTTGAGATTCTGGCATTTCCGAAGATGACAGCAGAGATTCCCCTCCGGCTGTGGTATTCGCTCGAGCGGAGTCTTCGATCGGCCCTTCTTCGGAATATCGGTCACCGCTGGAATCCAGGGTGTTTCTCCCAGTGCACTTTCCATCCCTGATGGACATGCAATACTCGATTTCACCAGGGAACACTTGGTGACTCTCTCTCGAATACAATATTTCTGAGATCTCCATTGACCGGATTTGTGAGGCATCGGTAGAACTGGGAGTGGTACCGGCCCTCGAGATTTTCGTTTGGGCTTTGGTGGAGGTATCACTGGCAGTGGTTTGCATTTCTTGATCCATTCCTTATGAGTTATGCATAGAGATCTGCTTAATCGTTGCTTGACGGTCTGAATGTTGGGCCGAGAATCTGATAAATCGGCAATATCGACAGATCTGCTGGGTGGGTTGAACTTGTATTTGTCGACGGGTGTCAAATAGGGCAAGTGCTTCTGAGTTTTTGGTGTGGCAGACACACCGGGGGAACAATCTTTAAGAGATTTTTTCTCAAACTCAACGACGCAACGTGACGTCTCAGAATCTCCAGCGTCCCCAGCAACTCGAGTGGTGTAAAAACATGGGCTGAAAAGTGGGGTAGACAGTTTCTTGAGTGAACACCAGTAATTCATCTTCGTTGTGTTGGGTAGATCACTGTAGAGATTTTTTTTCAATGCTGTCAATGTGTCGACGGGCAATTGATGGATGGCAGGAAATGGTGAGCTGGTTGAGATAGGTGAGAAATTAGTTTCTGGCGGTGGTTTAATGTCATCTCCGATGGAAGATGTTGGTGGATCGTTGCCAACTTGATGTTTGCTCAATGGTGACGGCTGGGTAGAGTTGAATGTATCTTTGTGGAGCGGATGTCCTCCAGGCGTATTACGCTCTTCTGAGGTACAAAGTTCCATGCAACTTTGGAATGAGGAGCTCACTTCCGGATAAGCACCTTTCGATAAGATTTTGGTCTTTGATGTGCGCCAAATAATGGATTTTATGGGTGGCATCTTGGGTAGTGGTTTAAGATGGTTGAGCTTTGGTATTTTATTTCCAACTAAATCTGATGGCAGATACTTTTTAGTGTGTGATGCTGGATTGAGGAGATCAATAGTGAGAGATGGAGAGAAAAATCCACTTGTAAAAACACGATCGAGTCTTCCAACTGAATGTTTTAATAGAGAGACTGACGAGTCCTTCCTTTTTACCTTTGTACCAATGTCGCTGGTAATTTCTCTGTGCGTCAAAGTTTTTCCGATGTATGTGTGCCATTTCTCGGGTTTAGCTGTCATCAGTGGGAGAAACCGTGCGGAATGGGTAGAAAAAAGAGAGGACATGGAGGGTGAATAAACCGAGTGTCCACATAGTTGTAATGCGTGGGTTGGGACCTGCATGAGAAAATGTTTCTTTTCAATCCTTCAACGGATTCAGCTGAGCTAGCTGTGGAAAGGTGGGATTATTTCGATTTAATCGCTTTCACGTGCTCAGGACATGTTGAATTCTATTGAGATGATAATTTACTTTACGCTGGGAATTTTCAAGCATCTCCGGGAATACTCTTTGCGTCCTCTCAGGATTTTCTCGGTGCTTTGGCCAGTGGAGATTCCATTTTCAGGAGATACATCGGAATGAGTGATTTGGGTTATGGGGGTGATGGAGATTTTCCCTGAGAGGATTCGCTGGGCACTTCAAGCCGCACGTTATCAACTGTTTTATTTTTTATTTTTTTCAATTGTAATCCCTTCCGTTGGGGAATCGATGCTGCCATTTTCCTGGAAGTATATTACGCTACAGTACACTCTGGAATAAAACGCTTTCTACGATGTAGTGGTCCTCTTGCAAAATTCAGAGCTTCCTGGCGGCTCACGTGGTACTTTAATTTTACTGGTATTCAGTGATAAAATTGTATCATACGCAGTTAATTTTAATGGCGTTAAATTGCCGCAGTTTGGTTGAGATTATGGACCTTTTCTACGTGATGGGCAAATAAACTAGAGTCCGGGGATGGACTGGGGTGTATAAAACCCAGAGGTACGGGGTTATATAATTTTGGGGCAGTGAGCTTTTGTGAAACTTGTTCTGGTGCCAATTTTTTCTCGTCTCGTGATACGGATTGGACGGAGTAGGTGGAGGATTGGAGGAATTTTTAATCTAAATTTAATTGAGAGACAATCTCGCGAAAATTTGTAATTAGTTGTCACGGAAAGGTCAATGATTTTCAATGGATTCGGCTATTTTTTTCATATTTCCCATCAAACATCATTATGCAAATGTTTTTGCAGAATCTCATACAGCGAAAGGAAATCCAATCCTGAAAAAGTGATTCAATCCACGGTAAAACACAAAAATGGAGGTGGAATACGTCTATGTCAAGAGTCGATCGCAGTTTGGAAAGCAATGTATTTTCGACGACTCGGGAGTTACCATTGAGGAAAATATTGTATCAAACCCAGAGATGATGGGCAGATATAAACGTAAAGATCCATTGAATACAGCAACCCAAAATACCAGACAATTCGCTATTCATGAAGTTAGTATTTAATATTTCCATTAAAACCAGCAATTCATGTACCTTGAAGAATTTTTTATTCACTCAAATAGAAATTTCCCCTAAATCCAAAAATTTTTCCATGACATTATTACATTATTTTCATTGAAAGGAGCAAGCAGATTTATTTGTTTGCCATAACAACTTCTTTGAGATGAGAAAAAAAATGTTAAATAAATATTATTATCTGATTTGAATGACCCATTTTCCGGGTGTGTGCCTGAGGAAAAACATTTTCCCGACGATTCCTATGGGTATATCTATCGACGTTCCCAGAGAGAACCCGCGGATAAGGAATATAAAAAAATTCTCTTAGGACGGAATCGAGATGAGTGGAGTCCCCAAGGCGACATCAAGCCCAGGTTCATGCCGGAAAATCTGCATTTGAAGGCATTAAAATGTCTGACTCGGGACCCAAGTGTTCATTTTTCTTGGCTGATGTTTCACCGAAGATTTAGCATTTGCTTCCTTTATTCCCCTGTGTTATCGTGCTCTTCAGGTCCAGACTGTGAGTACTCCCATTAAGAATAGCGGAATGGTTCACACCGAGGGTGGATGGCCTAAGGAAGTCAACATGAAGGATGAGGAGGCAGTTTCAAGATTTCGTCGACGAGTCGAGAAGAGCGACAATTGGCCACCGAGAATGCGCAATTTGATGACAATCGCGGAGAGGAATGTCCTCCAAAATGGTACCATAAACATCTACCAACAATATTTTGATGACATGATACCAACTCCACTAATCTTGCCTATGGGCATCAGGTGAGATCATTCGCACAATTGTGCAATTGCACAATTGCAAGAGAAAACATCCTTAGAGTATGTGAAAAAAATAAATCATTTAATTCTCATTAAGATAAAACGTTCGTTCTTGTGTTCGTTAAAAATAAAGGATTATTCGTCCGTGCAATTGAGTGAGTGAATTGAAACGATGGAAATTTCACAGAACAATAAATGTTTACGAGGATCCACAAGTTCCTGTTAGACCCGTTACCCACCTAGCCTGGTCACCAGACAGTGGAAAAAGATTGGCAGTGGCACACGGTTGCACAGAGTTTCAACGAGTTTCACCTAAACTAAGTCTCTACTCGTACATTTGGAATATCGGTTAGAGGAAAAAACAAATCCATTTGAAAAGTTCTTCAAATCCGAATGGAAGATGTTCCACAAGTTGTTGAATCGACGATATAAATCATGTTTATACTCTTATGTGTGATGTGGTTGGTGATGTTGCAGAGAATCCAAACAAGCCATTCATGGCATTGAAAGCAGACCACCCTTCAGTAACGATTGAATTCAATCCCCGTGATCCCTCTATGCTGATCAGTGGACTGATGTCGGGACAAGTTTGTAACTGGGACATACGAAGTGGAAATACGCCCATTCAAATTTCGCATCCCCAATACAGTCATAGGTGGGTTTTGGATATCAAACTGGTGAGATGGAATCAAGTTGTGGGTGGGGATATCACTATTTGAAACGACAAATTGCAGTGATATCAATTTTTAAAAGTTTATCAACTATTATTACCAGATATGAAAAAAAATTCTTATAATACGTACATTTATAGTGACATAATTACTATTTTCTCTCCCGTGTTTCACAACCCGTGCCCTCTTAATCACCTCAAAGACAAACTCCGACTTGTTCCGCAAAAACTTGAAATTCCTTGTAAAGTGAAGTTTCTTGAGATCGGAAAGTTCTTGAAAAGTCGTAATTCCGTGACATTTCGCTCCTCAATAGAGTCGAGTAAAATTCTTGAAAATGACGAGCTATCCAAGAAATGACAATTTTTCCGAACATTTTTTTTTTTCAAATTGACCCACTGACCCAATCTTCGAAGCAGACCCCTATCGGTAATTGCCCCAAGCCGTGATCCTCCGAACGTCACTAATCCTCCCCTAATTACCTCACCACAAGAAATCCCACAAACTGTGCCCTGTGGATAAACTCAAAAACAAACTCAGAGTTCTTCTCAGCATCGACCGGTGGTATAATTCACTGGTGGGACATCCGTAAACTTCGACAGCCCACAGACTCCTTAATTATGGATCTTGAGAATCCCCTTCGTGGTGATGTCGTCCGAGCAATTGGGGTTTCAGCGCTCCAGTTTGAGGCCACAATGGGCACGAAATTCATGGCGGGAATGGAGAATGGAGTGGTAGTTAGTGGTACGAGAAAAGGTAAAAATCCCGTGGAGAAACTGGCCCTGAGGTTCAATTGTCATTATGGGCCCGTGGTTGGAATCGATAGGAATCCATTCAGTACAAAAAATTTTCTGACCATCGGGGACTGGTCAGCGAGGATCTGGTCCGAGGACACGAGAGAGGGCAACCTAGTATCAACAAGGTGAGAATTTATTCACTTGAATAATAAATTCAATGGGATCAATGGTTGTCGTATCGTCCATTCATTGTTTGTAAAAGACACCGCAAGGCATCACTGACTGGTGGATGCTGGAGCACGTCTCGGTGCTCTGTGTTCTACGTGATAAATGATGAAGGAGTGATGGAGGTGTTTGATATTCTGGTGGGCCTCAACAATCCGGTTACGACAATTCATCTTTGTGAGGACGGTTTAAAGGCGTTGGCACCACACGAGAATGGAAAATTGGTAGCTGTTGGCAGTGACAAGGGTAGTGTATATCTCGTTGAGTCGTCAGAGGCACTCACTACCAATGGCAAGAATGATAAAGTATTTCTCACATCAGTAAGGACAAACAACCTCACCAATTCCACCCCAATATCACCAATTTACAGCCAACAATCAATGACAACTCTTATCTCTTACTCAGTACTTCGACAGATGCAGTAGATACGAGAAGTCTATTGACAGTCGTTTGAAGGAAATAAGACTTGCGCAGAGGGTGGATTTCGTCGAGGCTGAACCAATCCCTCCACCCCCGCCCGCAGGTAAAATTCAAAAAGAAAGCTGAAACATTTGGTAAAAATCATCCCGAGGGAATACATGGCGACCTCCTTTTTCCTCAGAGGTTTCCCTCTGTATCTCGATGTAGATCGGAGGCAAACAGGTTGTCATGTTCCTCGAATCACGTCAACCCCATTGTTTTTACTCTGTCCAGGGAAAGCAAAGGGTAATAAGGCCAGCTCTACCCGTAAGCCAGACAAAGAAAGGAAAGCAGATGATAAAAGCAGTCGAGCCGATGAAAAGGAGCGTAAAAAAGGAAAACAAGCGAGACCAAAAGCAAAAAGTGCCTGGGAACTATTGGAGGATCCTGAACTCGCTGATGTCGAACAACAATACTTCGAGGCTGTACAACAGGTTAACAATGAAACCCTTGCAAATAATTATTCACAAATCCGAGATATTGTTTATGAAATTGTGAATCAAATTGGATTGCTTTGTCACACAAAATCGAAACATTAATTATCTAGACAAAATTTGAAGGATATTGTACAACGAGGATGAAGGCGATAGACGCGCTTAAAATTTTTTGCCCTGAAGAAAATTGGGACGTTGTTTTCCAACCAAAAACAGTGTCCTCCAGAAATTAAATTTTCTGCCCTATTATGCTAGTTCTGATGCTCTCATACTCATCAGCGTTGATAGCTTTCATGATGTCGTGCGAGGGTTTCGCGAGGATTTTCGTTTGCATCGTCAATCTGGAGTGCCTCCTCACTCGAGGCTCATCCTTAAACCCCATCACTATCCATTACTCCCCAATGAGGATCAGCGAGGAATGGTTGGGGGTCGATCAGGGGGTCTAATTGATCAGCCGAGTCTGGACGGAGCTCCACGTTCTCCACTTTGTTCATTTTTCCTGGTGAGGAGCAGGAAAAATGAGGATAATTCGATTGAATTAATGGACGGGAAAAATTAATAGAGGCATCAGAACTAAGGGCCAATAGTCCTTTCTCATTCCCTCCTCATACTTTATTTATCCTTTTCACTCCTGTATTTACTCGTGCTATTTATTCTGCACGTTTGCCATGTTATTCAGGAATTGGAAAAATACGCTGAGGCTTCGGAGGCACTTGGAGGAGGATTGGAAGGGACTAGCTCGACTTTGACATCATCCAGGGAGGGTGCATCGTCGAAACGAAAGAAACGAGAGGATCCCAAGGAGTTGACTAGTGGTGACAAGCGATCACA